GGGGGCCGGGGGGATATGTCACATTCTGATGACTCTTGCTTATAATATACACGACGTAATCACTATATATTGCCAATAATCCCATCTAATGACATGATATTAAACTGTTCACTTTATTTCTGCAAGAACTGTACCAATTTTATTTTTTAAAAACCATGACATGTCCTCCTTTTGACCAATTGCAAGCATCCCTCTGATAGTTCCGTACCAAAAGGGTATTTTTAAGTTCACCTTTCTTCGTATAATCATAAAGAAAATAGCCACATGATAATGAACAATCAGAAGCCTGATCCGGGCATAATATTCGAGCATAAATACTATTGATTTTCGCGAAACAGGTGCTCGCGTTGTACACAGTAAGATACATGGTAAACTATCCAATTGTTTATCTATCCAGGACATTATTCAAATGGTGAGTGAGTGAGTTGAGATTATAGTCACACCGGCAATATTTTAGCCATATCGTGACTAAAACAATAATATTCATTTATCACTCCCTCCAACCCAACCCACCCCAAACCCCGGCATGTAATTTTCTTTCCAGAGTCTTAACTCAAACACCGTTCAATATATTTCAACAAGATGATCATTTGACACCTGCTTAAAGTCCGAATCGTTTATATGGAAACCTGGAAAAATATGAACGTCCAAAATCCGCAAATAGTAAAAGGAACCACATTCGGGTATGTCACATATATCTCATAGGTTTTGTTGAAAGATATTGAACGGTTTTCGAGTTGTGTTCCGGAAACGAAGCGCACCCCTCCTTTTGAGACAAAGTCAAAATCGTTTCCATCGAAGCCGCGAAAAATTAAAATGACAAAAATTGGTAAGTAGCAAAAGGCACCACTTTAGGTTCTGTTTACTATATCTACCAATTTGTGTTGAGAAGTATTGAACGGTTAATGAGTTATGCTCCGGAAACAAAATGATTTCGGATGGACGGATGAGACGTCGACTATATCACAAATGCATATACATGTACATGTATCTTCAAAACAGATCAATCAAACTTTATCGATCAGGTCATTTTCTTATATAAAATCAATAATTAAATGACAGTTAACATTATTAAAAAATCTTTAACCGTTTTGACACTGAAATATTTATCCTTTTGATGGAAAAATAAACAGTCAAGCAGGATACGTTTGACTGCGAATCTTTCATCACAAGGGACACAAAAACGGAGGATCCTCACCTTTTAGTAAATATCTTGTGTGGCCAACACGACCTCTTCGCATAATAACCTCGTCAACCGATAGTTGGTTTTATTGAATGTAATTTATTGATACCTACTTGAGTGTCCAACTTATTCTGCCACAGTGTGTGAAGCCCATTTCTGGTGTCCCTCGCCGTGATATTGCTGGAATATTGCTAAAAGTGGCGTAAAACAATACACACTCACTTCATCTCCATCAGATTACGAATATAAGATCTAATGATAGCTAAAAAAACAGCCATTTGATACTATGATAAACCGAGATTTTTATACCTTGAACGGAAATTAGGTGAGATATATACTAAACAACATACAGATGTCATCTTTCTCCGGCGTTGCCAAATATTTACAACATGCAACTAATGTGGTGTCGTATTTTCAGTAATTTCATTACATTTGAAAATAAGGCTCGATCTCTGTTAATAATGATGCAACGTTAGTCAAAATACATCCACAAAATCAAGAGAGTTTGGGAATCTAAGAACTAATTTCTAGGTAGATAGCACCATCCATTTAGCTATTACCTCCTTTCTCATGAGCGATTTCCTAATTCATTATAATTTGTGATACTACCAAAACGTATCCGGTTACAATGTGGATTTTTGTATTGAAACAGATTGGCTCATCGTGTATATGTTTGTGTGTGTCTGTGTGCGTACGTGCGTACGTGAGTGCGTGTGTCCTCTCTGTTGTCGCTTTACGTCAGAGGAAAATCAACTTTCGTCAACAAGCCATTTTTCACATTGAACGTAAAAAGTTATACATAAGCATTCAAATCAATTTCATATATTGTTATGTCGTTCAGATATCACGCAGTATTTTATTCGCACAAAGTTTCATTAAAGATTCCAAATAAAGAAATCATCACGCTGTAAACGGATACATGTACTGCTTTTCAACGCATAATAAAATTGCGGACAACTTTTAACAAAGTCTACTTTCCAAATCGCCTGTGTATTTGAGCTTCAAATTTACATCATCGGATAGGAAATTAAATACTCTACATATCTGTGTTATAGCCGTAGCTAGAAGCAGTGCATCACTAACGCAATTCTCGCTCAACGTTCATTTTTCAGAACTTCAGATAAAATAAACCTCTGCTTCCAGGGGGTTAACTCTTCTGTGCACTGCGTTGTACATTAATAAATCTGCTACATCCCATGGTCATATCTTTTTGTAGAGATATGAATGGAATCCTCTCTGCAAGGAAAATCTGTAAATTATGACAAAAAGCAGATGAATATAATATACATTAAGTGTTATTCACCCAAAGCACGAGCGCGCGAAACGGGAGGCGAGAGTGAGTATTGCGTACCGCTATGAAGAACGTCCTCCGATACGAACTATAGAAATTTGGCGCATGCGCACAACATGTCAACATGTCAGCTCGCTATCGTTGAAACAAGAACTCAACGGGTTTCAGGCCCATTAATATCTAAATGTATGATCACAAAAATATGACAGTTACGTGTATGTATAGGGAAATTATCTGGGAGTACATCGATATCGACTTTTCAGTCAAAAACCCACAGGAAATATATTTTAAAAATCTCAAGAAAATACGAGGGGTAATCGGCCACTAGAATCTGAATAGGATTTATGAAGGTGGTGTTCTCGGCCGCGATGCAGGGTCATGTCTTGACTGTATAGGACCGCATCGTGGCTCTCGGCTAGCTGCAACGGTGCTACCTGTTTTCCACAAACAAAGTTGTCAACTCACATGTATATCAGCACTGTGGCCGCCAAGCATAGTAGGAGATACAGCGGCACGTCCACAAGCCCCAAGATCTCCATGTCGATATGACGACTAAATGAGTAAAAGGCTCCTAATACGCCGATCATGCCCTATTTGTTCCGAATGGGGACATGTCAGCTTGACCGTGCTGCTTGAACACATTTGTGGTCCTTCACTGTAAATGGTGGCGTGTGCATACATTTCGTTTGCCTGCCCTAGGTACAGGTAGTAGTGAATGCGAATGAACGTGTTCGTGATCCTGTATTGTGAGGATCTCATAAAACAAGTGTTTATAGATTTAGCATTGCTGTGATTATTTTGGGCATGATATGAAATCTCTCTCTCTCTCTCTCTCTCTCTCTCTCTCTCTCTCTCTCTCTCTCTCTCTCTCTCTCTCTCTCTCTCTCTCTCTCTCTCTCTCCAAATTTGTAGAGACATATGGAGATTATTTTCAGGGGTTCACACTGACTTGTCGAAGCAAATTCGTCATATATGTACATATTTATCACATGTATAATAACCTTGACCCTGTCATCTAGTATTTCCTCCACCATTTATAATGACCTTGACCTTATAGTAACCTTTTTAGGGTTTATATTTGGTCAAGGATAATAATAATACCTAGAATTTGTTGTAGGGGAATTACCTTGGGACCGCAACACCTTCAAATAACCAAGAGAAGCATCGATTTGTGGCCAGTCTTTATTCGGTGCATTTCATGAGTCATATATTATATAATTAAACATTAGCAATATTTCAAACTTGGACAAGTAATACATATGAAAATCATGTGAATTAATAATTACATAAACCTTACTGACAATATACCTTACAATAAACAATTGCTAAGATTACACGGAAGTGAGGACACTTCATATCATATCGGAAAACATAATACACGTGATGTAGCGAAGCTGATAAATATGCATAGAGAATGATCAGGTAACTCTTCAGTAAGACACCTAGTACATGTGCTATCATTTGCTAAAATTATCTTCAATGTTTATGGAGGTCGTAAATGATGGGCGTTACTGTGCTACATCCCAACAGAATACTCAAACAGAATAATAAGAATACACAAATAACATGAATGTTCAATCTGCTAGTTGAATCATATGACCACATCTGAATATCTAGACTATCGTGATTTACTAAAGTTAATATTCCGAACGGCATGTTATTGAAAGTGTTCAACGTATACATAAATCGAGCTTAACGATACTGAGAACGTAGCAATATTTGAGCAACAGAATGAAACAACAACGTTTATGTGCGCTCACGAGTTCTGTGTGTACAGTATAGTTATCTCACGTAACATGCACATTGTTTAAACATTGGTTGATGAAAGGTAGCATGCAACATTTGAATTAAGCACACACACATAATGATCATCTAGAAATACATTCACTGGCATACACTTTGATTGTAAACACGCAATAAAATATACAACTTGGGGATGAAGACGAGCGTATATCGATACTGACAGATCATAAACATAGACGGACCATGCATGTAGTCTTAAAGCTTAACACATAATGCTAATTGTCTTACAACTTGGAAAATGAAGATCAACACTAACTGAGACAGCATTTAGTATTCACGTTATTGAATAAAATATACAAAATGTGCTGTTTAGTCCTATTTGATAAAGTCACAATTATTTATATAAGATGTACAACTTGCGCCCCAATGATCGCGGCACCTAATACAAGATTGTCCCTGAATACGTTTCTCTTTTGTAATCGTCATACCTGGTCTTGTTTCACCAAGGTAATACACGTCTAATACCTGCATCACTTCAAGTTTCACCAAAACGTTGCATTAAAACTTGAATGCAGAGTCGGGTTAAACCATTATGTTTCTTACAGGCTGAGTGTCATCGGATTTGATGTGAAGAGAACAAGATTTAAAAGCAATATAGATGTGAAATATGCCTTTCACACAACTGCAATTTTAGCATGGAAATATTTTAAGTGTTTCATTCTGCCGGAAATCACTTCATCATGGAAATGGAATGCTTCTCGTTTGACACATAAATATAAGAAGTCAAAGTGGCAGACATTCAGTTTTGATTCCCACTCATTTAAACCACAGGAGACATTTGTGATAATGTTGCATTTTGCTGTCTTCAACATCTGGGAGACACTTTCAGTATGATGTCCTTGTCTGTTTGAAGAATGTTTGGGTTCGGATCAAACGTCAGTACTTCCTGTGAACAAACCAAGACATATGCAGTTGTAACATGAATGAGAGTTTTGTCTATGGCTTAAACGCAATTATCGATGAACTACCTTCAGAAATCTTTTCCATTGCAAAGTCTTTTCGTTTACTTAATTCCCTCCAGTAGCAAGACTATTTTCTCTAAAAAGCTCTAAATTACAATTTCTTTTACACCTAAGACCGTTCGAATTATTCAGTTCACACAATGTATTGAAATGGAGGCTGGCAAAGCCAATACGGAATTGCTTGCTTTCAAATATGTGGTCAGTATGAACAACTGGCCACTGTTAAATGCTACACTGAAAACATGTTGTACATGTGCATGAATACCAGTAGGCTGTATGATAACCTTGACACAACATGATAACCCAGACTATGATAATCCGGACGTGTTGGTGATAACCCAGACATTGCATGATTGTCTGGTCGATATAGTTTCGGTTTCATTTGTCCATTGATCATCAGTGATTCTTTCATATAATTTTCACAGCTATCTTTCCCTTAACACCGCACACAATTTGTTTCTGAGGAAAGTCAAAACTGGATATACTTTTCCCTGGCGTTTTATATTTAATTCAACTGGATCAATGTTCCTGCTGGTTGACTTAAGTTCCCGAGATTCATCAGAAGTTCAGTGTTAACTTCAAAAGAAATGTTTGTTCCCAGACATTAAACCTAACCCCCATGTGTTGTAAAACAGATATATTTTCCATTTGGATCTCTGAATACTAGACAGCAGTTGTATTTCCAAATTATCTGGGTGAATTTTCCGTTTCATCAATAGCTGATTGTTTGGTTGCTCTAAAGGCCACCGTCTCACGGCAGGAATACTGCTGTACAGCATCAGACAGCGAAATGCTTCCATTTTTCAGCATGTTTCATGAATGGCGGGCAGGGCATGCTTACACGATGTTCTGTAATCCATTCATGTATTTTTCACGGCTATTCCTTCCTTTATACCAAACGGAATATGTTTCCGAAGAGAGTCAAGACTTGCTGTCCCCTAACATTCTTTTTCAAGATTTAAACATGTTTGTGGGGGTTTTCTTCATCGAACAAGTGTGGAGAATATTCTATCCTTTACATCACATGACGTTTCTCTTGTAAAAGAAGAACTAAACGTCTTTACATTGTTTAGAAAGATGATAAAATGTATGTTTGTGAAGAATATTACTGAAAGAATCTTACCGGTGTGTCGGGCATACGATCAAACCTCACAGCCTTCAGAACATTAATCAAGGCAACTTTAAGCTCAACCAAGGCGAGCCGCATCCCAATGCAGATCCTGGGACCAAATCCGAAAGCTTGGAAGGCAATAGTTTTGTCTTGGTCTTCATACCTAAAGTACATTTTCTTGCAATTACTATGATATTCTGTCAATCAAATTCAAGTCAACGCTAAGAACATGCTCATGCAGTTGACAAATAGTCAAAACCAACCCTTTGAAAATATTTAGGATGGTCTGATTATGCGATACTGTACGTGTTGAAAGTGAACATGAACGAGTGCGGAAATATGTGTTACTGTTCTCTTGGGCATACCTCCCCTTTCAAGGTTCGAAATTCAAACTCACAACCATAATTCGCAACGAATTGCGCACGTGCCCCGAAATGGAAAGTGACCAGAGTGAAGACCGACCAACTGAAATTCTGGGATTGCAGTGTATCTTTAGGGACCGTACATCTGTAATGTATGGCTTGGGGTGGTGATGATGGTTTTTAATTGTTGTTTTTTTGTTTTGCTGTATTTTGTTTTTTATATTTTGGGGGTTTTGGGGGGTGTTTTGGGGGTTTTTTAGTTTGTTTTTCATTTAATTTGAGGGGGAGAGGAGGAGGGAGTCTTTTTGTTTTGTACATAATAATATTGCAATAAATATCAAGTGTAGCATTGGGTAATTGATTGAGGGGGCATTGAATTGATTTTGTACCTTATATGTGTGTGGGGTGGGGGTGTGTGTGCTTACTTTGTACGTAGTTTTAATTTTTGGGGAGGGGAGGGTCATACACATTGTACATGTTCTCCCACCCCCTCCTGCCATAAATTATGGACGGCCCTTTAACCTTATTTTCGGGAACCAGCTGTTTGCATGTTTTCAATCAACAAGAATATCATGATGTAAGACCTGTACCTTTCTGGCTTGAAAGAATCAGGATCATCGTAGAGCTGAGGGTTTCTGTGTATAGCCATCACAGGAATGAAAATATTTTGACCCTTCAAGAATGTCAGGCCTTTGATTTGAGTGGGCTCAGAAACGGTTCGGTTAATCCTAGAATGAAGAATAAGCTTGGATAAGCTGGGAGAAAGGTAAGACGATGTAAAATTAATGTATTTAGGGAGCATTATCAGACAATATTAACGGTCTTTTTCATGACTATCCTCCATTTTATATCAATGGATGACTGAGTTAGGTTAAACGTCGTTTTAAATAGCATTAAGATATCAAGGATATGCTCCGTAGTGACGTCAGGGGCGGATCCAGAGGAGGGTTCTTCTCCGAAAAAAATTTCCCTGAGGAGCATTTCCCACTAATCTTTGGACTTCATGATATGTCGATGTGACACACAAGACATTTAATGGCTAGCTTGTCCGTTGTGAACGAGTCCGCCTTATCATGAGTTCTGTCTAGAAGAAACGTTTGCGCATCGCGCAGGGGAAGAGGTTTTAGTTTTCCCGAAGCATAGGAAAACTACCGAGACTTTGCGAATGAACACTTTTGAAACAAGACTAAATCTGACTGCAACCAATCACGAATCCTGAACACTCGCACCATGAAAGGGCCGTATTAGAACAGAGGTTACGTGGGAAGAGCATGCCTATTGTTAAACATGCCGCTTACACATAGCCCGGCGGGTAGAGTCTGAGCGTCTCTGAGATCACGTTGTCCAGATACTTCAGTTTCCCAATGTTGTCATAGTTTGGCTCCTCCTAACAAACACAGATGGTTAATATCCCAGGATATGGAAAAGTAATTATAACGTTTGAATAAGGAAGACGACTGGGGAACTTACAGAAATGGAGAAACATTCTTTTCTTTAAGTATACGTTGTTGAGTTACTTTGACAATAATATCAAATAATTCATTTCTGAACTTCTGGTGTGTCACCTTCTTAAAAGGGTACTGTGAATCAGATGCTATACTTTAGAAGCACCATAAAACGTAGGTAGTTGTAATTATTGTGTGTCTTTATATTTAGAAATGTCACTCAATGAAACGGTCTATCAATATCCCAATTATATATGGACAAAAATAACGACCATTATGTACGAGACTGAAAACTGTAGATTGAAAATGGCTGTCCAACTTCAACTCAAAGTCAACTTATGATACTGACATTTCCCAGTACTTCTTTGACTTCATTGTAAGCCTTCTCCTGGACGTCCGGGTTCATGGCCAGGTTGTAAGATAGGAAAGTAAGGGTTGACCCAGTCGTTTCATAACCAGCGGTAAAGAACAGTATGCACTGAGCAACTACTTCTTCAGTCGATAGATCTGTAAGTTGAAACTTTTGTTATTGCTTTTCAACACTTTATGTTGTGCACAGAGCGTATGAAGCCTGATTAAACATTTCACGTACTTCTAGCAAACATTGGATTTGAGACAAGTCGAATAAGCATCTATCACATCATCTACGTTCTATAGATATCCTAGATATATCAGTCTAGACACATATCTTTCTAATTATACAGTTTAACTTGCTAACACGGGGACCTATCATTGCCCTACAGTGCCTACTTACGCCTGACCGAATGTTTGACTGTTTGACCATCAGCGTTGCTGTCGTCTTTCACCTCATTTATCGAAGCATCAATCATCATTTGCAAGAAGTCTGTTGTTCCCTGTTAAGAACATCGTATTGATTGAAGACATACTGCTCTTGCCGTCGCACCAAACAGAAAATACACGAATATTTAAATAAATGTAATTCGCAAAGAATGTATGTATAACGGGTTAATTATGCATGACCGTGCTGTGTGCTGAGGTGTCGTATGGACACATGATGATTGCATTTGGTGGTCGGGAAAGGGGTAAGCTTCACTGTAAATGGTATCGTGTGGATACATTGCATTTGTCTGGTCCAGCTACAGATAGTAGTGAATGCGAATGAACGTGTGTTCGTGATCCTGTGTTGTGATGATCTCACAAGACTAGTGTTTATAGATTTATCATTGCTGTGATATGTAAACATTTTGAACATGATGTGAAATCCCTCAATCCTCGCAAACCTCTCACGGTTTGTTTGTCCTGATAAGGTCAATAGAGCAAGACTACGATTATTCAGAGCAAGTGAATCTACAAAACTAAGAAAAACCAGCGCAAAGGCGCTCACATAATCCATGCAAATGTACCCACAAAACTAACCTCGTTGGTCAGGTTTGCCAGCTCTTATTTACATCATAATGGCTGTGAAGATACAACATGTGTGCTTCTTCTGATTTTATACAGAAAGACAACTTTATCGTCTTTGTGTACAGCAAGTTTCTGCTTATGTTGCTATACAAAAGGAAGAATTCTAGACAGATTGTATATACGTGTAGTGATTGATTTCATCAAACCTCTAGGTGGCGTGTTTTATCATTCCGCCGCTGTTGCATCATTTCTTTGGTGATCTCCCTCAAAGAAGGCAATGCCTTTTGGTGGAAAGACTCCCAAGCCAAGCTTACTGATGACTGGTTCAAGTGCTGGAATAACAGCTTCAAACAGAAATAAAATCCATTTCAACCTTTAAAGAACAATGTGGGTACTTGGATAGCCTAATGGTTAAGGGGTTCGCACGCCATGCACAGGTTTGATTCCAGACATGTGTACAATATGTAAAGCCCTATTCTTGTGTCCCACCGTGATATTCCTGGAATGTTACTAAAGAGGCGAACAAAGAAAACAACAAAAACATAATCATTCACTCACTTAACAAGCCAAAAATTGAAACTTCTGTTTCTGGATTTACAGCATGAAGGCACAGGCCCTCGGGTCTTTGCGAGGATTAAAGTTTACAAAAAAAATTGAAATGACTCCGGACCCGAAATGCTTCACCACTACAGTAAATGATGATGTACTGATTATTGTACTGTGAAGCATTTCGAGTCAGGGGGTCATCTCATTTTTTTTTTAATCTTTAATCCTCGCAAAGACACGAAGGCCTATGCATGAAGGGTAGTTGATTTAACCTATAATTCAAGTCAGTTTCCTTGTCACTTACCTGACAATACTGAGAATGCCAATGACAGCTTTGATGGTCGGAATAACTTCTTAGCATGAACGACAAACGGGTGGTTGAAATCAGTTTGTGAATCGACCTTAATCCCAAAGGCAGTTTGGCAAATGACATCCATAGAGAAAGCTCCAAAGTATCTGTGAGAGACCATTTCATATTTGAGTATTATAATACTGCGGGTTGAAAAATTATTTTCTGTTAGGCAATGTACCATATTGGTGAGGATCATGGCTCGAAATAACAATTGGTGGTTTGTCAAGTTCATATTCGGTCTTATCAGATCAGTTTTTCACATTAACAATATCAGACTGCAATGGGATGTTAATATCTGGTTTTCAGCAGCATGGGCAATGATTCACAGCTAAAGCATTTTGTCTAGCAAAATTCATTTCGAGTTTTCCCTCTTTCATTTGGTGTCGTACTTGCCTTGATGCACTTAGGGATTCAACAAATGAAACACTTGTAAAGAAACAAATCCTTTAACATTTCGAACAAAGTACTCACTCTTTTACATTTACCCCACTGTTTTTCCCCATAACTTTCGAGAAATTTGTTGTCAGAGTCCTTGCACAATCGTTGATGGCTCCGCACATCTAAATACAGAAACGGAAAACAAACTTATTTCTGCCATACGAGGGGCTATCAAAATGTTTTGAGCTAAATATGCAATCCCCATTTATTTCTCAACATAATCGACCCGTGAAGATCCGGGGTAGAATAGGTGTTCAGCAACCCATGCTTGCCACAAAAGGCGACTATGCTTGTCATAAGAGGCGGCTAACGAGATCGGGTGGTCAGGCTCGCTGACTTTGTTGACACATGTCATCGGTTCTCAATTGCGCAGATCAATGCTCATGCTGTTGATCACTGGATTGTCTGGTCCAGACTCCATTATTTACAGACCGCCGCCATGTAGCTGGAATATTGCTGAGTGCGGCGTAAAACTTAACTCACTCACTTTCAACATAATCGCCGTGAAAGTCGATGCACTTGGTCCATCTTGTCTGCCTGACATTCATGCCTTGTCTATAGAAGTCCATTTCTTGATCCTACCACGGAAATGCTTCTTCAGATTAGGTAACAGGTGGTAGTCACTTGGTGCCAGGTCTGGAGAATATGGTGGGTGAGGTAGGATTTAACATCCACGTTTTTCAACAGCGGCCAGTACAACACGACTGATATGAACTGGAGCTTTGTCCTGATGAAGAAGAGCTCCACGCCTGAGTTTGCCTCGGCTCTTCTCCTTGGTGGACTTTCTCACTTTCTTCAGTAGGGTACCACAGTATTCCCCATTCATCGTAGTTCCTCGTGGACGGTAATTTATGTGGATGATTCCTTGGCTATTCCAAAATACGGTGGCCATAACCTACCTGGTCGATCTGGACGACTTAAACGTCTGCCTTGGTCGGAGGGCACTTGACGTGCTTCCACTCCATGGAATCCTGTTCGCTCTCAGGGTCATAGTGATGAATCGACGTTTCATCACAAGTAACTAACCTAAAATGAAAATCATCTGGTTTTGTTTATATCTTGTTGTCGTGGCATTACTTGTTGTTCATTTCGCTGGTGAGCGTTCTTGGGACCCATCTTGCGTAAACCTTAAACATGTGAAGATGTTCATGCAGGATGGATACAATTGATTCACAGGAGATGCCACTTGTCTGCTCTTAACTCATGGATGGAGATTCTACGGTTGCTCATTACTAGGTTGTGCAGCTGGTCAATGTTTTCCCGGCTGGGGCTAGTTGTGGGCCGACCAGGTCGGGGGTCATCTTCAAGACCCTCTGTACCGCACTGGAATTCCCTCACCCATTGCTTGATGGTGGCAGAGAATGGGCAAGACTTCCCATATACTGCTGTCATTTGCTCTTTAATTTGCTTCGCCGGGTGGCCCTCGAGGACACTTTGTGACAGCTCTGTACTCAAGCTAATCCATTTCTGCCGTACATGTGATTAAATGTCACGTGACCTTACACTAGCAACATGTGCATGTCAATATTACGTTTATGTAAATTATATTAACCATTCTTCAATATCATACAGATATTTTTCTCATGCACAAATCAGATGTATTTTAGGCTCAAAACTTTTTTGATTGCCCCTCGTACATAAAGCAGTCACAAACTGGGACACTAATCATGGCCAAATTGTGCAAACGGCTGATCTCGGTCAACACTACAATCAGTAATCATCTTCAACGTGGTATTAAACCTCTTGTCAACTCACCTCACCAAATGTCATTTCTAAAGTTCATGGGCCACTGTTTTGCTTGTATACGGTGTGGGTATATTATCATGTAAGTTCAGGTCTTTGGACAATGAAAACAAATGGAAAAGTCAAGTGCTAACTGATAATCATTCTGATAATTCATTCTCGCAATACATATACGAATGGAGCTACGTACCCGCCTCAGTTTGACACCTGTGAATGTAGGACTAATGGCATTTCTCACTCTCTTCCACGCGGCATCTTCCAAGAAAACCAAAGCTAAATTTACAGGGTAGGGCACTGGAAATATCTGAAGACAGAAAAAAGTAAACAGGCAAAATGAAGGAAACCAAAATACAATTTAATCTTTCATTTGTGTGATCACACGTGTTACATAATCTTTTCGCCGAACACATGGTCCATTTACAGGCTTCAATAGCAGTTGTTATGATCATCAACCACCATGTGACATCTGTTACAGAGAATACCAGCAGTAACTAGTCCGTGCTGTGTTAAGACTTTAGTTTAGCAGGATGGCATTATCAGAACGTACAATTATTACTTTCACGGGCCTAGATCATGACTAAATAAACAACATTGCTTACCACCCGGTTTCTGAAATTGTCAAAACTCTTGACCATAACCTCTTTCAGAATTTCAGGATCCGAGATAACATAGGCGGGAGCTCTTCCAAAGTAGATACTGCACAACAGAAACGTCAAATAAGGTTATAAATAGCGCAAGGTACTTAATATCTAAGCTCAAAGAAACAAATATATTTTACAGAGGTGCTGTCATACACACTTTTGAATATGATCTGACACATAAGTATATTTCTGGGTTTTTTTATCCATCAGCATGTTTTTAAGTCCCCTGTTTTATCGGTAACGTGCATGCGTTGCTAACTCCCTAGCTGTTTCCTCCACAAGTTAACAATGGTTAAATAACACAAGGTGCGTAATATTTCGTAAACCTGTGTTCAAACAAACGAACATATTTGTTAGAAGTCATACACACGTCTTTGTTTTAACATACTCTGATACAACGGAATATTTTAAAGTTTTTATCCATCTGCTGTTTAGGTTCCCAGTTAATGCCTCTTTGTTTGACAAGACAAACTTTGATCTCTTTGCATGATATAAGTATAAATATATTCATACGTACATACCCAAAAACACCTCCATATCGCTTACTCCAGGCGTACAGATCATGTCCGAAATTCTGCATAAAATGAAGTGAATAAAATTTGCTGCAGTATTTCCACTTGACATAATTATGTTTATGTTATCTAATCTTATCTAAGATATTCTTCACTAGCCTCATCTGCCAAAATACACAAGTTTAAGACGAGATAATGTTGCCAAAGGAATATAGACGCATGCTGCAATCTGGAAAAATGCATTAGGAGAGATCGAAACCTGGAAATATGTTGGACTTCACTATATAAAGGACAACTGTTTTACTGAATGCTGAAACTGAAACTGAAAGTGAAAGTTTCAAACTATTAAATCCTATCCCCTCCAAAATATCATCTTTTGACCTGAGAAAAGGGGAAAAAATAAGGAAAGGATAACGTATCCTTAGTCAACAATTTCCAATGTTAAACAGGCTGTAATCCTATTATAATTCAGATTCCTGAACGCATTGTATTGTATCCCCATGGTACTGGCGGGAATGACAACTTTGTGTTATCTGAAACTCGGAAAGATCCAAACCACTGAACATATTATGAAGTAACCTTTACACAAAATTCATTATTAATGACAGATCCATAACAAGTGGCATAATTATATGAGTTCCTGTATTAGGAAAATACAGATAAAAGATAATAGTTTTAGTTATAGTTTATAGATAAAAACCAGCCTCACTAAATACGAACTCATATTCCAGATATATTGTTAAAAAAGATAAAACTTCGGACTGAATTGCCTTCATATATTATAAATATGCGAAAATCTTTCTAAAACCTTGAAAGTTTTAAACATGATCCAGCCCACCTGTGACCGGGTGTAAAAAACCTTGGAGTCAACTTTGTGTTCAGACTCTTTAAGTGTTGTCACAACCCCTAGTGTACAGTACACAACCCTGTGCACTTAAAAGAACCCACGAATCCGTTGGTAGATGACCAGATGGTGGCCACATAAATACGTGCAAGCACCTATTTGCGGGTACAGCAACGTGCAGTGAACTTGGACAAAGTACTGTGACAATGTGTCCCAGTCCACCCAGCTGTGAATGGGTACCTCGTAAGGATGGGAACGCCACATTAACTCGGTGCGCCTAGTAGGCAGCAAGAGTTGTATGATCCCCAGGGAGTTGAGATTGAAAATACGATATGCCGTTGTGGTGGAAATCCAATGATCGAGGGAAAACAAAGCGCCTTTGAGAAGTTGTACTGGATATTGGCGCTATACAAATGTGTCTATATGTATGTATGTATCCAACAACTTTCGACAAAGATATACATGTAAAACAAAGCTCATTGATACACTGATTAAATTGCAAATAATGATATCAAGGGCTCGACATAACAAGAAGAGGGACAACATTATTTTCAACATATTGAAACCCAACATATTGAAAGTCTACCCTTGCAGTTTTAACAACGGCCACTAGCAGTCTGTTGTAGCCGCTTTTAAAGAGTGTTATCAAACCTACCGCACCAGTGTTGTTTCCAATACAACACGTTGGTTCTGGCCCTGGAACGCCCTGCTTCTTGAAGTAATTGTAGTTCCATCTTCCATATCTGTAAATAGAAAGGACAAAACTCTTCCCACATCCATAAGGAATCCATAAGAAATCGATTGTACAATTTTAACTATATCATGAGTAAGTGTTTGTTTGATGCCATATTTAGAAGTATTACAGTTGTACGACGTGGTCTGTTCACACATCGAGTCTGCACCAGACAATCAAGTGACATCATGAAATACTAGAGTATGTATATGAGTCACTTTCAAACACTGATGATATCAGTTCTTTGTGAAAAGGTGAGGCTCTCCTGCTCCACCAGTGGCACCGGTCCAAAACATATGCAAAGGTTAATCATGTGTTCACCTGAAAAATATTAGGAATGTATGGTTTATAAGTCGAAATTGGGAACTGCGTCGGACGTAATTTTGACACTGATGTATCAAATATCAGTCACATGTGTACCATAAATTGTTTTGAAAGCTTTTGAGATCCCTTTTATTTTGTAACCTTGATCCAACAAGTTCTGAGCTCTGGAGCAAGTCGTATGGCGCTCTTTAAAATCTTGGTAGAAAGCGCATATCCGATTGTAATCAAAATTCATGAAATGTGAACGCCAAATGCTGGAGCTGTAAGAATATTGGTCGACATGAAAGGAACGTTGACTGTTGGAAAGTTGAAAGAATCCTTTTTGTCATACAGCCTTGTGGGGAGGTTTGTCGTCCGTTGGGATGGCTACATCTTGAAGATGTTTCTACTTGAGTATATCCCCTGGTATCCCTGGTGCCGCCTGTTGGAGACCCACAGGCATGAGGCATCGTCCTTGTTGACACTCCATGGTGGGTGGGGAGCCAGGAGGATGAACCAAAATCACTACAACCATGGAACCCCAATGAAAAACGCTCGTATGAGTCAAATGATTTGTGTGATGCAGATAGGCCGAGAACGCCTTCTGTGACTTTTGAAAACTGGCCCAGATTCTTGGTTATCTCAACTCAGGATGGCACTCCACTCCAAGTTGAATCCTTTTGCCATTGAGAAGGCTATTCAGGGCATTGCTGGCGATGTTGAAGATGCCAAAATATTACGCAGTGGTTGTCTACTTATTAAATGTAGACGTCAGAAACAGGCTGTCAATCTTCTTTCCACCAAGACCCTCGCGAATGTTCAAGTTGTGGTTTCCCCACACCGATCCTTGAACAGCTGTAAGGGGATAGTGCGAGATAGTGGTCGTTTACTTGCTGACATGACTGAGGATGACATTTTGGAAGAACTAAAGAGCCAACATGTTATATCTGTAAAACGTTTCTCTTCCAAACGACATGGCGCGATCATTAAGACCAACACTTATCTGTTTACCTTTGGTCTTTCCAAAATACCTAACTCAATTAAAGCTGGATATTGTAATATCAAAGTGGATCTGTACATCCCTAATCCTCTGAGATGCTACAAATGCCAACATTATGGACATGGATCTAGAACGTGCAATAAAGACGCTGCTTGCAATCGTTGTGGCGGTAACTGTGATGACAGTACTGAATGTAACAAAGATCCTTCATGTGTCAACTGTGGCGGTAATCACGTTTCCTCTTCCAAAGATTGCCCCATGTGGAAACGCGAATCCAAGATCATGAAAATCAAACATGAAAGGAATGTATCTTTTCAAGATGCAAAGAAGATTGTTCTTGGCGAAGAACAGTCCATACACAGTTCCTATTCTGCAGCCGTTGCTCGACCAATTTCACAGTCTGTTCCGCAACATGTTCCATGTACATCAATTGGTTGTCAGACCGATTATACATGGACTGACACCGAAGCTCCTAAGTTAATTTCAGTCTCTATCACTGCAGCAACAGTTCCTGTTGTGGAATCGGCCAGTTCACAAACACCTCCACACGATCTACCATCATCTCAGTCGTCTAGGATCACACAGTTAGAAACAAATGTAAAACAAGTGGTAAAAAACAAAATAAAACCAATCCCGGAATCCAAACAGCCCCAAAGTGGCAGGAGATCTAAAGGATCTGATAACAAGATCCAGTTGTTCAACAAATACGGTTCACTTGAAGATATGGATGTGTCTGACATCAGTAGTCAGAGAACACATAGCCCGTCACCCTCCAGGAAAGGGCGGGGCAGATCGCCAATTAATCCTCCTAAAAGGTAATGTCTTCACATATTCTACAGTGGAACTGTAGAGGTCTTAGGAACAATTATAATGATTTACAGCTTTTAATCCAGGATTTCAGACCATCAGCACTATGTTTACAAGAAACATACCTGAAATCTACAGATAAATTTGATTTAAGGAATTATGATTCCTACCATCGTTTTCTCCAGCTGGTGATAAGGCCACTGGGGATCTTCTATTCTGGTGAGTCGGGACACGATTCATAGCGCTATTCCACTTAATACCCCTCTTCAAGCCGTTGCTGTCCGCGTGACACTACATGTTGTACTTACTTTGTGTTCACTATATATACCACCATCATCCTCTATACAGCAATGTGATCTTCAGATGCTCTATGATCAGCTCCCAAAACCTTGCATTATAATGGGAGATTTAAATGGTCATAACCCACTTTGGGGTAGTAACACGACCAATGCAAAAGGGAAGATACTCGAGGATTTCTTCTCCAATAATGATTTATGCATTTTCAATGATGGCTCTGACACATATCTTCATCCTGCAACTGGTTCGTACTCCTCTCTGGATCTATCCGTTGTGGACTCTAATTTATATAACGAATTTGACTGGTCGGTCCATGATGACCCTTGTGGAAGTGACCATTTTCCTACTATTCTTTCAGCCATAAACCCCAGTGATGCTGCACCATCGTCGAGGTGGAACTTTAACAAGGCAGATTGGTCTATGTTCGAGACCTTATGCCATACCAGATTAAAACCCGAATTCTTTCTAACTGTGTCTGATCCTATTCAGATGTTTTCTGATGAATTAAATATGATTGCTGATGATTGTATTCCCAAGTCCTCTATGGTCCCACACATCCGTAAGCCATGGTTTACTATTGACTGCAAACAAGCTAGAAAGGCTAGGAAAAAGGCAGAAAAATATTTCCGTCGGCACCCAACAGTCCATAACTTAAATCAATTTAAAATTTCAAACGCCAAGGCTCGTCGTACATTTAAACAAAATAAACGACATTCATGGCGAAATTATGTTTCTAAAATTAACTCACGTACACCTATTTCTAAGGTATGGAATATGGTGAAGAAGATAAAAGGTAAAGGTTCCAAATGTAGTGTGCACCATCTTAAGGAGGGTGCCTCTTTTTTAACAGAAAAATCTGATATTGCTAACAAATTAGGTGAAACTTTAGCCAAACATTCCTCCTCATCCAATTATTCACCAACTTTTCAGAAATTTAAAAACCAGCAAGAAAAAAGAAAATTAATTTTAATTCAGATAATGGGAGGATTATAATGAAATCTTTTTCCATTCATGAGCTCCATACTGCCCTTTGGGCAAGCTCATGACACTGCTTCAGGTCCCGATAATATTCATTATCAGCTTCTTAAACATCTCCCTGAATCATGTTTAGAAACATTATTAAATATCTTTGACAGTATATGGACTTCTGGTAATTTCCCACCATCATGGCGCAATGCCATAATCATTCCTATTCTAAACCTGGCCGGGATCATACAGATCCGTCTAATTACAGACCAATTTCTTTAACTAGCTGTGTTTGCAAGACAATGGAACGTATGGTTAATAACCGTCTAGTTTGGTACCTGGAAACCAACAACCTCATCACTGACATTCAATGTGGTTTCCGGAAAAATCGTAGTACCATCGATCATTTGGTACGATTGGAGTCTTTCATAAAAAATTCCATGCTAAATAAACAACATGCTGTGTCGATTTTTTTCGATCTTGAAAAGGCATATGATACGACCTGGAAATATGGAATTTTGAAAGATCTCCATGATTTTGGTTTGAGGGGTCGTTTACCCCTTTTTATATCACAGTTTTTAGAAGACAGACAATTTCAAGTCCGAGTGGGGACTACCCTGTCTGATCATTACAGTCAGGATCAGGGTGTCCCTCAGGGCAGTATTTTGTCTGTCACTTTGTTTAGTGTTAAGATCAACAGTTTATCAAAGGTTTTAAACGATTCAATTGATGGATCTCTTTTTGTGGATGATTTTAATATTTCTTGTCGTGGGAAAAATATGCATACTATCGAACGGCAACTGCAGTTGTGTTTAAATAAAATAGATAAATGGTGTCTTGAAAACGGTTTTAAATTTTCTAAATCCAAAACTAATTGTATACATTTTTGTAGAAAATATAAGCCCCATAAAGACCCGGAACTATCTTTAAATGGCACTCCAATCAAAGTTGTCAAGGAGGCCAAGTTCTTGGGTTTAATTTTCGACTCTCATTTAACTTTTCTCCCGCATATTAAATCACTTAAAGCTAAATGCCTGAAGGCCCTTGATTTGTTGAAAGTTATTTCCAACTCAAAGTGGGGAGGGGATCAAACTACCCTCCTCCACCTATATCGATCATTGGTCCGCTCGAAAATTGATTATGGCTCCATCGTATATGGTGGAGCCTGCAAAAGCAACTTAAAACTACTTGATTCTGTCCACCACCAAGGCCTAAGACTTTGTCTTGGGTCCTTTAGAACCTCTCCTATTGATAGTCTCTATGTTGAGGCTGATGAGCCATCCCTTACCCACCGTCGTATCAAACTATCTTTACAGTATATAACAAAACTCTATTCTAACGAGTCTAATCCTGCATTTAACTGTGTTTTCCATCCTCTTTATGAGGAGTTGTACAACAAAAAGCCTTCTCTTGTTCCGCCTCTTGGGCACAGAATTAAACCATTTCTTTCTGCAGCCGGCATTGAGCTGGAAAATATAGCTCCTTCCCGTCTTCTTTCTTCTCCTCCTTGGCAACTGGTGAGGCCTGAAGTTGACCTAACTCTGACAAAGTTTAAGAAATCTCAAACTAATGAATTACAATATAAACAAGAATATAATCAATTAAAAAATAAATATAATACATACAAATCCTTATTTACAGATGGGTCCAAGGATGGTGGCGCGGTGGCATGTGCCACTGTCATTGGATCCAGAACAATCTCCTCTCGTTTACCAGATAACAGCTCTATTTTTACAGCTGAAGCAAACGCCATATTAACAGCCTTAAAATATATTAAAAAACACACTAAATATCGACAATATATCATCTTTTCTGACTCTCTTTCTTGCCTTCAGGCTATTAAAAATATTTCTTGTAAACATCCACTTTTATTAGAAATTATTGAATTATATAATGAGCTTGCTACTGGCCAATGCGACATCGTCTTTTGTTGGTTACCCAGCCACGTTGGCATTTCTGGGAATACAATGGCCGATCTTGCTGCTAAGGCAGCACTCAACAAATCTGTGACACCACTTCTGATCCCATACTCTGATTACAAAGCTGCTATATCATCTTATATCCGTGATCTGATGCAAAAGAAGTGGGACACCCAAGTAGGTATTAATAAATTACATGAAATAAAACCCTATATCGGTTACACTTACTTGGGTTGTCAGTCCAGATTTGAAGAGGTCATTATGCGACGATGTCGTATTGGCCACACACGATATACGCATGAATACCTATTGAAAGGTGAGGATCCTCCGTTTTGTATCCCTTGTGATGAAAGAATCACGGTCAAGCATGTCTTGCTTGACTGTGTTGAGTACTCCATCACAAGGGATAAGTATTTTAATGTCAAAACATTGAAGGATCTTTTTTATACTGTTAATTATCATTTAATAGTTGAATTTTTAAAAGAACTAGATTTGTTAAGTGATTTGTAAATAGATAAATATTTTATTATTGGTAATTAAATTAGTAACTGAGATTGTTAGTGGCTGTACCCTCAAAGGGGGTTGAAGTAGTGTAAAATTATTGTCCTCCTGAGAGGGTACGTAAGTCCCAAAACATTTCAAGTCAGTTTAAGTGTACCAGGTTTTTAATCGTAGTATATTTGTGTTTTAAATGTGTGGCTAGATTTCTCTTCTGTCGCCAATGGCTGAAGGGATGGTGTAAATCCAGCTAGGGTCCATGCAGGTAGCAAAAGTAATGTAAGTCCCCATGGTTCCTAGTATGGTGATCTAACTTCAGTTGTTGGCGATCAATAGCCCGTTTTTATATTGTATTGTCATTTAAAAGTACCATATTTTAGTTTACTTACTAGTTTTACATACATATCTGTGATATTCTAGTTGTTTTACTGCTACATCTTGTCTTAAAGCGCACACAGATTTCAAAGGACTAGAGCATAGTCAGTACTGACTATCTGAAGGTACAATGTGGTGCTACTTGTATTCATACCAGGAAATATCTATCCTGCTGTATTTCAGCCATATCGTGACTAGTTCTAAATTCATAATACATACATATAATATATAAAACCCTGTCAACGAAGAACAGTAAAATTACTAGGTTATCACAAAATGAGTTAAAACTATCTATCTTTAAAAGTAGAAAATTATTTTTGGACAATACAATGTAGAAATGGGCTTAGGTAGATCACCATACTAAGGTCCTCACACAGCATCCAGTCATCAATACCCTGATGCATTTGATCACTAGACTCAGTAATGTTTGCACAGTGCCATTATTGAAGAAGTCGGTTATAATGATGTGCGCTTATCTTTCTTTGGAAGCTAACAAAGAAATGATCAGATTTTAAACTCGTTGAATGAAAAGTGAGTAGATAATATATTCTTAGGTATAATGTAATGCCTAATGTACATAGATATATGATGGATGTCCATTTTGAACACATCTGTAAGGGAGAACAAATTCGTTTAAAGAACAGTAAGGGCATCATAAATATGGTTGGTATGTAAGGCTTATTGTACATAAATATACCATGGATCTCCATTGTGAACACAACTGTAAAAGTCTCGCTTATCCCTAATAAATACGCATCGATTTGACCCGTGAATATACGGGTTAGAACTGGTCTTCACCAACCCATGCTCATAAGAGCGAACTAATGTGATCGTTTGGTCATTCGCGCTATTTCGATTGACACATGTCACCGTATCCCTGTTCGGGAGATCTACGTTGGTGACGTCAATCATTGACACTATGGCAGACTGCTGCATTAAACAACTAAGAAACCCCAGTATTTAAACATTACTTAGCAGACACATTTACTCTACATAGGCACGACTAGCATGTACAAATATTGATACCTGGCCTTGGAGGTCTTCACTAACCTATTGTTCGTCCGTACAAATATAGCTGTCATGAGCATGAGACATGCAGGTTGCAAATGTAAGATAACGTGAGTCGAATGTCAAGTATATTATTGACACAACGGTAACTTGATTTGTATATTTGCAGTTGATAATTAGCGCGTTTGTTTTGACTGATCGAGCAGGCTGAAAGGTTAACAGTATTTCATGACTTAATAACGCTTCGCAGATGTATTTGAAAATGTCCATTCGGATATATAGTCAGCTGAACAACGATCACGTGTCATTTATTCAGCATGATTTTACAAAATGGATTCATTTTAGAAATAGTATTGTTTTGACATACGAAATTCTAGCTAAATATATTCTGTTATACAATGTCGCCTGTTAAAGATGCTGTCGTAAAGATCAAAAGTTTCTACGCACAAAGTTGCCTACTCACATGTAGATCAGCACTGTGGCCGCCAAGCACAGTAAGAGATACAGCGGCACGTCCACAAGCCCCAAGATCTCCATGTCGATATGACGACTGAAAAGTGAACGGCTCTTATCACACAAAACAAACAACAGTATGTAACGTGTCCTACTTGTTCCGAAAAGGGGTCGTGTCAGTTTTACAGTGCTGAATGCAATTATCTGTCTGCATTGGGACAGGGGTGACCTTTACTCCCAGTTGTATTTGCCTACTCTGGATATAAAAGAGATGCGTGCTCAGTTTTCAGAGGAGGTTTCAGATTTCTGTGTGATCATGTATTGTGAGGATATCTTTGCAGCACTGGCATATCTAGGTTTATCAGTGTATACAGTGCATCTGTCTCGTTGATAAACATGTCCTTGTTTGTGAAATGACATTGCATGTTTGAGACGTTCAGTTATATTTATCTTTTGGAATGACATTTGTTCGTACCTGAACAACCATGTTAAATTTCCCAAACTGGCGTTGTCATTGTTAGTACATTCTCTGAGAACAATTCTCACAGCTCCCATTCTCCTACTCCGTTGAGTGTATGGAGCGTTGCTGGTAGGCAAATAATCATCAACGCAAAAGATTTTCCAATCAATTATATATTTTTTTATGCTGCTTGTCAGAAACACTCTGCATAAACAAGTAGAATCCTAAATATATCTATTTACAAATACCCTTAATGCATTGCAAACAACGTGAATATATCACAAATAACCCGAATATATCACAAACTGACTGAATATATCACAAACAACGTGAATATTTCACAGACAACCTGAATGTATCGCAAATAACCTGAATGTATCGCAAACAACTTGAATATTGGCAAACAAAAAACATAAACAACCTGGTATGCAATAAGCAGTATACATACATCGCAGACAACCTGAATATATCACAAACAACCTGAACATATCATAAACAACCTGAATATATCACAAACAGCAGGAAAATATCACAGACTGAATATATCACAAACAGCAGGAAAATATCACTGACTGAATATATCACAAACAACATGAATATATATGGCAAACAACCTCAATAAACCTTGTGTACGTACATGCGTGGGTGGGTGTATATCAAGTACATTAACAAGTACAAGTAGATAGTTACAATGCGGGTCACTTAGTCTGACTGAAACACAGAACTATATTGTACGTAGTGTTGTGCTTACGTTGTGGCTGGGGTACATGTTTTGACAATGTATCAAGGCTTTCATTTCTACTGTGGTGGCCTTTCATAGATCAGGAAACAATTCCTCATTGATAATTTATCTCTTAATATATAAATAAACTGCATCACTCGCACTGATTGTAGGAATACTGAGAGACACAATATCTAATCCTACTTGTGCAGGGAACAATTCCTCATTGATAATTTAACTCTTAATATATAAATAAACTGCATCACTCACACCAATGACATGATTGTAGGAACGCTGAGTGACACAATATATAATCATACTTGTGTAGGGAACAATTTCTCATTGATAATTTAACTCTTAGTATATGAATAAACTGCATCACCCGCACCAATGACATGATTGTAGGAACACTGAGAGACACAATACCTAATCCTACTTGTGCAGGGAACACCAATAGAGACACGAGCCGAAGCTACACTACAAGTTAATAGCTTCGTGTATAACATTTTAGAGAAGCATCGTATAATCAGTGGTATCCTTGTTGTCGTGATGGTGGCGGTCATCATGAACGCAAGTACATCGAACAGTGTCATAGATTATGTGACTGAAAGAGCGATTGAGAACAGCTGCTAGATTTGCATAACCAGCAGTGAATGGCCTTCCTCTGTTTACTCTTTCAGAAGAAATGATCCACGTCCTAACACCTAGAGACGACACACAAGGAAGTGCGTGACACCGTTGAACTATACACTATTATTCGCTTGTATATCGAGATAAGCCAGTGTTCTTTAATATATAGCGAATGTGTACATACATAGACATACAATTACAATATACAAATAATTCTAGCAAATGCGTATGGCATCATTTTACAAAGTTTCGTATTAGAACATGTTTAGTTTTCTGGTTTCTCAGAGTTATAATTACCTTAAGCTTTGAACACATGTGATTTTGTATTATTAAAGATTCCTTTCGAAATACAATATTCATACTAATCCTTACTCTTTATCAACTACATTTTGTCATAGTTGAAACCAGTCGAAACGTTTGATTGGTCTATTAACGATATGCAAAAATTAGATTGCTTTCAAGTGACAGTCTTGTCTCTGTTGACAATGATGAAATGTTTGTGTCTTTCGTCCGATGTGTTGCTAGGAAAGTTGTCATACATGCAGTTTAGATACAAAACACTTCTGCGGTATTCTTTGTTGCTGAAAATTTAAATATTGTCTTTCCTATTCATGATATGAATTATTACAGTAACTGATGGTAAAAGTATTCAGAAGTTATAATGTGATATAGAAATTTCAGTTTGTCAAGGAAGCATGAAAGTATCTGCAATGTATATACTTGAATGAGGACATTGACTAATTCCAGCATGAAAGTATCTGCAATGTATATACTTGAATGAGGACATTGACTAATTCCAGCATGAAAGTATCTGCAATGTATATACTTGAATGAGGACATTGACTGATTCCAGGGCATGGGAAGACAAGGCATCCGAATCCCAAGCCCTGGAACTCTTTCCCATTTCACCGAGGTACTAGTGAATGAATCAGTTTAGTTTTACGTCCGTAATAGCAATATTCAAGCTATATCGTGGCGGGTAACAAAAGAAATGGGCTTCACACACTGCAACCATTTGGGGAATCGAATCCGAGTCTTCGGCGTGACTGATACAAAATAATAAGAGTTCAGGAATGAAGACATTTAGTTTCAATGACCACTGACCAAAAGTGGTACAGCGTATTTATTTGTTGATTTGGTGGTCGTAATATGTACCTCATTTGTATCATATTCTCAGATAAATCCTGGGATAAATAAATCCTTCCATTTTCGCCGTTTTCAACATCTTGGACATACTTTCAGTATGATGTCCATGTCTGTGTGAAGTACGTTTGGATTCTGCGCAAACGTCAATATTTCCTGTGAACAAACCAACTGAAGACATACGCAGTTGTAACATGAATGGGAGTACGTGGTTTTGTTGTTTACATTCTGTTTGATGAGCGTCCCGATTGTCTCGCAGCTATCGAAACTATATTTCCTTCTCTCTCTCGCAACTACTGTAACTGTATTTATATATCAATTGTTTGGATCAGAAACACAAAAGTGACATTGCATTAAATGTTATGTTTATTCAGCGTAAATGAATACTTGATGCTTGCAGCTATTACACCACATGTACAGAAGCCTGTTTAAACAGTCAGAATATGTCCATTGCATTGGCATAACAACAGCCCAAACATTTAGGTACAATTCTACAGTATATGTTACCTGTCGGCGGTAGACTCATGTTCGTTTTGGAATTATCCGATGCTTTGAGTGCAAGAAATCGTATATTTACATAGAGTTTGGGAGATATATAAATTGAGAAAAATTTGTTTCGTTTGGTCTTTGGTCGCATGTAGACTCAATTTCAAAACTGCGTCGACTGTAGGTTAGACAGAAACATATCTGGACATTACTGCCCTAGTCTCTATTGCTGTAAAAATGAAATATAGCCTTTACTATTCCTGGCATGTATTATTACAGTAACTAAAGGTAAAGTTTATTCAGAAGTTATAATGAGATGTAGAAATTGCAGTATTATGCAGAAGCAGGAAAGTATTTGAAATATATACATTTGAATGCCGGCATTGGCTCATACCGGGGGCATGGGCAGACGAGTCGAAATTGTACAATTTGCGCCCAAAAGTCAGGTAAAAAAGCAACAAACAATAGTCGAGGGTCCCAATACAAGATTGTCCCTGAATATGATTCTCATTGTGTGAGCGTCATACCTGGTCTTGCTTCACCAAGGTAATAAACACCTGAGACCTGCATAACTTCAAGTTTCACCTAAACGTTGCGTTAAAACTTGAATACAGAGTCAGGTTAAGCCAATGGCACTCACTTTACGGACTGAGTATCTTACAGCACTTCGGATTTGCTGTGAGGAGAACAAGATTTAAAAGCAATACAGATGTGCCACAACTGCAATTTTAGCATGGAAATATTGTAAGTGTTTCATTCTCCCTGAAAACACTTCATCAGGGAAGTGAATTCAAGGTGGGAGACATTCACTTTTCGATGCCCACTGATTTAAAGTGGTAAAGCATATATAATTATTGGTTTGTACACAATTTAGAGACATATTCTCATATACATTCTTGGAACTGCCGTTGCATTTGCGCCGTTTTCAACATCTTGGAGACACTTTCAGGATGATGTCCTTGTCTGTTTGAAGAAAGGTTGGATTCTGTGCAAACGTCAATACTTCCTGTAAACAAGCCAAGACATATGTATATATGCAGTTGTAACATGAATGGGAGTACGTGGTTTTTGTCTATGGTCTAAACAAGAACGCAATGGTCAATGAAGAACCTTCTGATAGTTGTAAATCAAATCTATTTTCCAAACGTTAAGGCATATAAGCATAGGATTGTTTGCACTCATTCACCGTAGTCATATTTCCAAATTATTTAAGTGAATTTTCCATTCCATTGCTCAGTTTTGTGTCTGGTTTGTTTACAGACTGATTTTCCACTGATGTTCTATATATTTATTCAAACATTGGAACATTCGAACCTCTTGCAGAAAGATGACACATGTATGGTTGTAAAATTATATTATGGAATAATCCTACCGGTGTTTCGGGCATACGATTAAACTTCACGGCCCTCAGAACATTGACCAAGGCTACTTTAAGCTCAACAAGAGCTAGCCGCATCCCAATGCAGGCCCTGGGGCCGAATCCGAAACTTTGGAAGGCAATAGTTTTGTCTTGATCTTCAAACCTGAAGTGTAGTTTATGCAATTACTCGATTATAATATTTGAGTCTGTCATGTTCAAGGCAACGCTAAGAACACATGTACGCTACTGTGATGCAGTTAACAAAAAGTCAAAACTTACTGTACCGAAAACTGTAGGATGTTTACTTTTTACTTCTTGTTACTGCCACGAATATAGCTCTATGGTTCTGGCGATTGTCGAATAATACTCGAATCATGTTTCTGACCTACTCAGGGTCCCAACTATGCGAAACGAAATGCGACACGGGAAAAAAACTGACTTGAATGGAAGCCGACAAATCTGACATTCTGTGGCTGGGTTATTTTTTGTAACAGCAGTTTCCGGAATCTGTTATGTTTGTTAACAACATTTTCGGGAATTGATTGTTTTGCATGTTTTAAAATCACCAGATAGAATATCACGATGTCAGCCCGTACCTTTCTGGCTTGAAGGAATCAGGATCGTCGTAGAGCTGAGGATTTCTGTGTATAGCCATTACAGGAATTAAGATAGTTTGACCCTTAGAGAAAGTTAGGCCTTTGATTTGAGTGGTCTCAGAAACACATCGGTCCAATCTGAAACGAAAAATATTTTTGGATCAGTTTAGGGAAAGGCAAGATGTTGTTAATGTGATTTAGTTGTTATGCATTGAAGCTTAACATGCTGTACTGTACCAGGTTCCTTGCAAATATACTTTGGGAGCATTATAAGGTACTCGGTAAGTTTCAAGATTTTACTGTTCATTACAGTTGGTACCTACTTTTCATGCTATGTCAGTGAAAGGTTGAGCTGGGTTTAGCATTCAGTTATATTATGGAGGGAAGATACATAGAATAAATACTGCTTTGCTTACAAGGCCTGTGAGTTCGGTGTATGTAAGTTCTGATAGCAGGGAGATAAGCTAATGTTTGTTTGTGTTGGAACGCAACCATCCAGCTATATATGACTAATAATATGTAATAATCGATCCAGGACATGTCCGGTATTGTGGACAAAGTTCAACGACACACAATCAACAATGGCCCCAGGCCTGACCAAACGGTGTACATGGTCATCTCCTACCACCAGTATCGGTTGCTGGGAACCATTCTAACCTAGAATTCCACCGTGTAACTAGACAAACTGTAGTAGCCTTATGCTATAAACAATACTAGATTACATTATATTGCCTTTATATCCCTATTGTTAAACATGTGTCACTTACACAAAGCCAGGCGGGTAGAGTCTGAGCGACTCTGAGATCACGTTGTCCAGATACTTCAGTTTCCCAATGTTCTCATAGTTTGGTTCCTCCTGGAGGCAGACAAACACACGGGCGATATCCCAGTATTTGGAAGAGTGATTATCACGTTAGAGTTAGAAGGAGGGCAGGGGTAGTTACAGTGTTTGAGAATAATATCAAACAAGTCATTTCCGAACTACTGTGCCACATTGCTATGGGGTATATTATATTTTAGAAGCACAATAAAACATAAATAGCTGTAATACTTGTGCGACTCTTTATTTGATAATGTTAGTAAATGAAACAGTCCCAACTATGGACAAAGACAACGAATATCATAGACGAGGCTGAAAACAACAGACATAAATTGTCAGTCCACCTTTACCTAAAGACAACTTATACTTTTTGATACTGACATTTCCCAACATTTCCTTGATTTCACCGTAGGCCTTCTCCTGTACATCCAGGTTCTTCGCCAGGTTGTAAGATATGAAGGTAAGGGCAGTCCCAGTAGTGTCGTAACCAGCGACAAAGAACGTAATGCACTGAGCAACTATTTCATCCGTCGATAGATCTGTAAGTTGAAACTTTTGTTACCCGTACTACCTGTAAAATGTGGATTTGACACTAGTCTAATGAGCATCTGTCACATCACTTTCGTTCTATAATTATCCTGGATATGTCATTCTAGACACACATGATTGTAAATTTACAATTTTAGTGTTTTCAATTTTCTGAAGTACATATACTCCACTCAATTAAAAACTTGTCATGAGACAAAAGTTACGTCAGAAGCAGTTGTGCATTATTATGAAAATATCTGTGTGTCATACTGTTGTCGTCAGGTAACAACACGGGCGATGAAAAGTAGATGACAGCATAGTTATAATAAAATAATGCATTATTATATACAATTATGTAGGTAAACTAATATAAAACGTCAGAACTGTAGTACTGGACGTGGCGTTGTCATATTAAAATGTCAGTACAGGACCATATACAAGCAGAAGGAGTCACAACAAATACTCTTTGGTAGCATGATTGGACAATCCCGTGTCAATCGACCATTGGAACAAAATGCTTCCAATCCATAGTATCGGTCACCAAGACCACGCTGAAACACCCAACATGTCATGGCCGTGTGTATGGCAGAACAGGAACCTAAAACAAATTGACCCCCTCCTAATTGTTACCAATGAAGTGGTGTCAGGTTTCTAGTTGTCTTGAGTATATACATAGTATATGTGTTCCATTTTGTTTGCTTGCAAAATAATGTATACCCTGTAACAACGATCAGTAAAACATAGAGAGGGCAAATAACTAACTTCCTCGACAAAGTCCGATGACGTTACGTACAATAAATACATCTGACTAATCGAAAAAAGGTCATTGCCGGGTGAATGCATGGTAGTGACAATGAAACGCAAACAAATATAAGAAAAACAGCGCTTTCATAAACGGGGGTCTGCTCTTTCCCAAAAGTGCCTACTTACGCCTGACTGAATGTTTGACCGTTTGACCATCATCGTTGTTGTTGTCTTTCCCCTCTTCTATCGAAGCATCCATCATCATTTGCAGGAAGTCTGTTCCCTAGTGTAAATATTGAAAACTTAATGTTCGTAACTGCCCTCGCACGAAACACAATATATATACTGAACCACAAAAGAAAAGTCGCACTGATAGGGGTTTCTTAAAGCACACACTTTAATTCACTCTAATTAACAATCAAATAGGAGGACTGAGTTCAAACTTGACAGTTATCGTAAACACATTTTCGGGAATCACATTTAGATTTCACACAAACAAATCACCAAAATGGTACCATATAAGATACCCCAAACTCAGTATCGTGTGTGGCCTTTATGGGCATCGATGAAATCGTTGCATCGTCTATACATGGAATGAATTAGCCGGTTGATGAAGGCCATAGGCACTTGGGTCCATACTCTGCGAAATGCCTGATCGAGTCGAGCCGCAGTTGTCGGCCTTGGTTGGAGGCCATTCAGTCTTCTTTGAATCTCGTTTCAAAGGTGTTCTACTGGTTTTAAATTCGGACTGAGTGCAGGCTATTGTAGGGTGTGGATGTCATGTTGTCTTAGGAAGTCCAATGTTGCTCTGGCAGTGTGGGCACGACCGTTGTCTTGCTGGAAGATGTGATTTCTGTAATGTCCAAAATGTGGTACAACGTGGGGTCTTATGATTTAAAAAATATAGCGAGCAATTGTCATGTCATTTCCTCATCCTGGACCAAGATTCTGGAACACCACGGTGTCAGCTAACTGTTCAGACCGATTGCACCCCACACTATGATGCTTGGACCACCCCACGAGTCTCTTTTAACAATACACTCATTGGAAAACATTTCACCACGCCCTCGCCATACTCTCACTCTGCCATCGACTGTCGAAACACAATATCGGCTTTCATGAGATAACAGCACAGTTCTCCATTGTCGATATCCTCAATTTCGATGCTGAGTTGCCCATTTTGGTCGGCTTTGGCGGTGATGAGCGGTGAAGACAGGACTGTGATATGATCTGTGACAGCAAAAGTTTCTTCCGCTCAAACGCCAACGCACTGTATCGGCACTGATGTGTCTGTTTTGAGTCAGAAATGGTCTGGCGTGCTGTTTCCGTTGCTCTGGGGAAGCGATCCTGCAGATGGTTGCGCCCATGCTGTCATGTTTGACGTTGTGATGTTACTGGTGGTCGCCCACTGCGTTGACGGTCTTGAGTGTTCTTAGTGACCTGATACCACTCCTGCTGTCCTAACATGAACATTAAAATCATTGGCTACCCTCCGTGCAGTCTGGACAACTTGCAATCGTCCCACGACTTGGTTCCTCTGATCTCTCGTAAGACGTGGCATGGTGGTTGTGTCAAAACAAAAACGATTTCAGGAGAACTTGGGACCTGCTTTCATTGGTAGGGTTGTCACGACATGCACGTGCATTTTCATTTTCACGAATGTCATACGGAACCTTTTACCATGTCTGCCGTTTTCGGTGCGTTTGGTCGATATGCGTTTTCATCAGAAAACACACTGATGTTGGTAATAACTGTCAATTTGGATTGAAAAACATGTTAAGAAAACGGTACAAACATAATAAAAACACCACCTTGCAAGATCAAAATTTTGCATTTGGTTTTGCAAAGCGACGTTTCTTTTGTGGTTCAGTATACGATATTACATAATTTATGGTTAGATGACAGGCGAGATATCTGATATGTTCCCATAACAGACAATTATACATCTCATCTCCTAATAACAAGGAGATGCATCTCTCTCATACACATTCACGTGCATGTTCATGTGCGTATCTCTCTCTGATAAAAGCAATTAGATTTAATCAAACCTCTCGGTGGTGTGTTTTATCATTTCGACGCTGTTTCATCATTTCATCCGTGATCGTCGCAAAGAAGGCAACGGATTTTCGTGGAATGATTCCATAGCCGAGCTTACTGAAGACTGGTTCAAGTGCTGGAACAGCAGCTTCAAACAGAAATAGAATCTGTTTCAGGCTTTAAATAGTGAGTTATTATTTAACGTCACATCGGCAATATTTCAGCCATGTCGTGACAAGAACATATGTGGCATTGAAATGGAATAGATGTATATTATAAAAACCTGTCGACGAAGGACAGTAAAACAACTAGAATATCACAATTACAACTCAAACTAGTGTGGAAAATTAAAACTAATAGCACTATTTGGACCATCCAATATATAAACTGCCTATAGATCGCCAACAATTGAAGGTAGATCACCAAACCAGGGACCATGGGGACTTACAGTACTTTAGCTACCTGCATGGACCATAGTTGGATTTATAGTTACTCAGTTACTAATCTAAACTACCAATAGTATAATATGTATCTATTTACAAATCAGTTAACAAGTCTAATTCTTTTTAAAATGCAATAGTTAAATGAGAACTTATATTACTAAAAAGATCCTTCATAGTTTGTGATTTGAAATAAATATCCCTTGTGATGGAATATTCCACACAGTTAAGCAAGACATGCTTGACCGTTATTCTTTCATCACAAGGGATACAAAACGGAGGATCCTCACCTTTTAATAGGTACTCATCAGCATATCTTGTGTGGCCAATACGACATCGTCGTATGATGACCTCTTCAAATCTGGACTGACAACTCAAGTAGGTGTAACCGATAGTTGGTTTTATTGCATGTAATTTATTGATACCTACTTGGCTGTCCCACTTCTTTTGCATCAGATCACGGATATAAGATCTAATAGCAGCTTAGTAATCAGAGTATGGGATCAGAAGTGGTGTCACAGATTTGTTGAGTGCTGCCTTAGCAGCAAGATCGGCCATTGTATTCCCAGAAATGCCAACGTGGCTGGGTAACCAACAAAAGACGATGTCGCATTGGCCAGTAGCAAGCTCATTATACAATTCAATAATTTCTAATAAAAGTGGATGTTTACAAGAAACATTTTTAATAGCCTGAAGACACGAAAGAATCGGAAAAGATTATGTATTGTTTATATTTACGGTGTTTATTAATATATCTAAGAGCTGTTGATATGGCGTTAGCTTCTGCTGTGAAAATAGAGCTGTTATTTGGTAGTCTGGAAGATATTGTTCTGGATCCAATGACAGTGGCACAAGCAACCGCCCCACCATCCTTGGATCCATCTGTAAATAAGGATTTGTGTGTAGTATATTTATTTTTTAATTGATTATATTCTTGTTTATATTTTAATTCATTAGTTACCGATTTCTTGAACTTTGTCAGAGTTAGATCAACTTCAGGCCTCACCAGTTGCCAAGGAGGAGAAGAAAGAAGACGGGAAGGAGATATATTTTCCAGCTCAATGCCGGCAGCAGAAATGAATGGTTTACCTCTCAAACCAAGAGGCGGAACAAGAGAAGGCTTTTTGTTGTACAGATCCTCATAAAGAGGATTAAAAACACAGTTAAATGCAGGATTAATTAGAATATAGTTTGGTTACATACTGCAAGGATAAGTTTATACGGCGTTGTGAAAGAGATCGCTCATCGGCCTCGGCGTAGAGACTGTCAACAGGAGAAGTCCGAAAGGACCCAAGACAAAGTCTGAGACCTTGGTGGTGGACAGAATCTCATAGTTTGAGGTTGCTTTCGCAGGCTCCACCATAAACGAAGGAACCATAATCAAGTTTGGAACGTACCAGTGATCGATATAGATGTAGGAGGGTAGCTTGATCCCCTCCCCACTTAGAATTGGAAACGACTTTCAACAAGTCAAGTGCCTTCAGGCATTAGTTTTAAGGGATTTAATACGCGGTAGAAACGTTAAGTGTGAGTCAAAAATAATACCCAAGAACTTGGCCTCCTTCACAACTTTGATGGGTGTGCCATTTAGAGATAGTTCAGGCTCTTTATGAGGTTTGTATTTACGGCAGAAATGTATTCCATTAGTTTTGGATTTAGATAATTTAAAGCCATTTTCAAGACACCATTTATTTATCTTGTTTAAACACAACTGCAGTTGCCGTTCAATAGTATGCATATTTTTACCACGACAAGAAATATTAAAATCATCCACAAAAAGTGATCCATCAATTGAATCATTTAAAACCTTGGATAAACTGTTGATCTTGATACTAAATAAAGTCACAGACAAAATACTGTCTTGGGGGACACCCTGATCCTGATTGTAATGATCAGACAGGGAAGAACCCACGCGGACTTGAAATTGTCTGTTAGCTATAAATTGAGGCAAACGGCCTCGCAATCCGAAGCCATGTAAATCTCTTAAAATGCCATATTTCCACGTAGTGTCATATGCCTTTTCAAGATAAAAAAAGATAGACACAGCGTGTTGTTTATTAATTAGAGCGTTTGTAACAAATGATTCCAAACACACCAAGTGATCGACAGTACTTCTGTTTTTACGGAAACAAGTCGATTATTTATCATGCGTTTCATGGTTTTACAAACACAGCTTGTTAGTGAAATCGGTCGATAATTGGACGGATCCGTATGATCACGTCCAGGTTTAGGTATTGGTACTACTATAGCGCCACGTCATGAGGAAGGAAATTTACCTGACGTCCAAATATCATCAAAAATGTGTAGGAGCGTCCCTAAACATGATTCTGGTAAGCGTTTCAGGAGTTGATAATTTATCTTATCAGCACCTGTAGCAGTATCGTGAGCTTGCTCAAGAGCAGTATGGAGTTCATGAATAGAAAATGTTTCATTATAATCTTCCCCATTATCTGAATTGAAATAAATAGTTTTCTTTTCTTCTTGTTTTTGATATTGTTGGAATTTAGGCACATAATTAGAAGAGGAAGAGTGTTTAGCGAGAGTTTCACTCAGTTTATTCGCAATATCTGATTTATTGGTATGTAATTGATCTCCATGTTTAAGATGATGGACACTAGATTTAGTACCTTTACCTTTAATTTTCTGGACCATGTTCCATACCTTGGACATGGGCGTTCGAGAATTTATTTTGGATACATCATTTTGCCAAGATTGGTGTTTATTCTGTTTAAAGGTACGCCGCGCTTTAGCATTTAACATTTTAAATTTATTTAAATTATGCACCATAGGATGGCGACAGAAATAATGTTCTGCTTTTTTCCTTGCCTTCCTAGCTTGTTTGCACTCATTGTTGAACCATGGTTTATGGATATGTGGATTTGCAGAGCACTGTGGTATACATTCATCAGCTATGGCATTCAGTTCATCAGAAAAACAGTTGATAGCATCAGGGACGTCAATAAAAAGTTCAGGTTTCAGTTTTGTAGCACACAGTGTTTCATATAAAGTCCAGTTAGCCTTCTTAAAATTCCGCCTTGATGATGGAGTACATCAGATGGAGTTACAGGTTTTAGTATAGTAGGAAAATGGTCACTTCCACAGAGGTCATCGAGGACTGACCATTCAAATTCATTTAGTAGTTCTGAATTTATGATTGAAAAGTCGAGAGCAGAATAGGTTCCTGTACCAGGGTGTAAATATGTGTTTGAACCATCATTATAAAGACATAAAGCATTATCTGAACAAAACTCCTCTAGTAATTTACCTTTAGCGTTTGTAGTTGTACTACCCCAGAATGGGTTGTGCTCATTTAAATCTCCCATAATAATACAGGGCTTCGGGAGTTGGTCATATAGAGCTTGAAGATCGGTTTTGTGAAACGTTGAAGACGGAGATATATAGAGAGAGCATAATGTAAACGTAACGTGCATAGTAAGTCGCACTGCAACAGCCTGAAGATTAGTAGGAAGTGCAACAGGGCTATGGATAACGTTCTGTGTGACTAGGATGGAAGATCCTTCAGTGGCCCGGTCACCCTGAGGTGAAAAACAATGATATGCATTGAAAGAACGTAGGACAAAAACATCTGTCTGTTTTAAATAGGTCTCCTGCAGACAGAATGCTGATAGTGTTAAATCCTGAACTAAAAGTTGTAATTCACTGAAATTAGTCCTCAGTCCTCTACAATTCCACTGTATAATATGATTGTGATAAACTATCTTTTGGGAAGATTTATTGGGGATCTTCCCCGAACTTTTTTGATGGGCGACAAGCTGTGCTCCCTAGAACGGACAGTTTCGGACACGTCCATGTCCTCAAAGGATCCATATTTGTTGTATAAGTTGACTTGATTTTCTGACCCTTGTGGGGCTCTGCCACTGAGTTTTTACAAAGAATCTTGCTTCTTACATTTGCCTTTAAGGGGCTGTGTAGACTGTGATGTCGACTGAGATGATGCGTCAAGATCAGAGGATGTTTCACATTGGCTTTGAGACGGACTAGGAACTGATTCTGTTGTTTGGGTAGATATTGCAGGTGAGAATTCAGAGGAGATTCAGATTTAACCCAGGTCAAGTTTGTCTGACAGCATGCAGATGATTTTGTTATTCTAGCTGTCGCTTCTGACGGTGTTCTGGTGATAGGAGCATAGCTCTCTTTATGCTCTAAGCTTTGAACTAGTTTTTTGGCATCTGCAAAACTAATGTTTTGGGTTAATTTGATTTTATTTATCTCCATTTGATGTTTCCAAACAAGACAGCTTTTAGAGTAAGAGGAATGATCCCCTGCACAGTTTGTACATTTTTTATATTACTGTCACAATCTTCTGTTGTATGTGTCTTCTCACCACAGTGAGCACATACAACAGACAATGTGCAAGTATTGACGCCATGACCGAACTTTTGGCATTTGAAACACCTTAGAGGGTTCGGAATGTACGTTTCTACATTGATGTTACAATAAGCTGCTTTAAGAGATTTTGGAGCATTTGGTAAAGAAAATGAAAACAAGTAGGTATTGGTTTTTAGAACAGCATCATTTTTCCGGGTTGTGAAACGTTTTACATAGAGTACGCCTTGATCTTTCATCTCAGAGACAATGTCAAGTTCTGACACATCTGCAAACAATCGATCACGGTCTCTGATGATTCCTTTGCTTGTGTTTAATGTTTTATGAGCCGTGACTGTGACTGGAACGGCGACAAACGATTCTGTACTCATAAGGTTGGTGGCTTGTTGCTGTTTTCCACACTCAACCAGCAGAGCACTGGAACGTAAACGTTTAATATTTTTAACTTCACCGGCAATGCCTTGAATACCCTTAGATATGGCAACTTTAATGGTGTCTTTTCAACAGTTTCAATTACAGGAAATCGTGGCCAGTATTCAATGGACGTGGACAGTCGTTAATCATTATCAACTGGATCAGTGTCCAGTGGACGTTTGTTTTTTTTCAAGGGGGTTTCGTAAGCCATGGTTAAGTTTTCAAGGTTCGTCATCTGAGCTCCCCACCCACCACGGAGTATCACAAGGAGAATGCTAAAAACAAGCGGATCTCCGACTTGCAGCACCAAGGATACCCGGATGATATACACCAGCAGGAAAATTAAAAGATTAATGATTCCACCATATTGGCCCATGAGCCACCGCCTTCTGGGGATACGACTCTAGGCAAAAAACAAACATGAATTTGTGTATTTGAAATTCTCAGTTCAAAAATTTGCCAAGACTTAAAAATATCATCTAATAATTTTCATATTTTGTGCAACATTATTTAGCTGTAGCACAGGGCTTGGCGTGACCAGCCGATTGATAGAACCGGGCCAGTTCTACCACCCGTCTAGGTGAAGTAAGGGGCGAAGTGGTGTGTTGGGGAAAGGAACGCTGTTCCTGGAACCAGTGCCCTCAACCGACACAGGGGTGCAACCCATGGCAAACGGGTTGGTGGACCAAATATACCCCCGGGTCCACAACGAGCGGTTGAAGAGCGCTTAGCGTTACCCAGCACCCATCACGAGGAGGTGGCTCTTCACGGGTGCCAGGCTTTAAATAACAATGCGGGGACTGGGATGGCTTGGTGGTTAACGCGTGTCTTCATGCCGACATAATGTGTGGATTTGATTTCCCACATGCGTGTAAAAAGTTAAACCAAATTCTGGTGTCCCCATTGTAATATTGCTGGATTATTGCTAGATGTGGAAAAAAAGAAAAGAAAAAAAACCAACAATACTCACAAAACCAATACATGCCACTACTGTTACTAGATTTACAGCATGAAGGAAATTTACTTTAACCGGTATATTGAGTCAGTTTTCTCGTCACTTACCTGACAATACTGAGAATGCCAATGCAAGTTTTGTTGGTCGGAACATGCTCATAGCATGAACGACAAACGGGTGGTTGAAATCTGTTTGCGAATCAACCTTTATCCCAAAGGCAGCTTGGCAAATCACATCCATAGAGAAAGCTCCAAAGCATCTAAGAGGGAATATTTCGAACTTTGATTCGTATATACAATACTGCATTTTTAACAGTAAACTAGTGTTTTCTCTAATCTGGTTTATCATTCCAAAGTCATTTTTCAAATTCTTATCTGTCAGTCACTGGATTGTCTAGTTCAGAGTCGATTTTTTACAGAACGCCGTCAAACAACAAACAGATGCGTCACATTATGATCATTAGTTTGTTAGGGACCTGATTACGTATGAAAATGATTCACGACGGAAGGAGTGTGGCATGCATGTTACAAGATTTTTTCCGAATTTTATCTCTGGTATTTGGTATCATACTGTCCTTGATCCATTTAGGGATTCAACAATTGAACTATTTACTAAGACACTGAAAATATGGCAGAGATCTCGTTTTAGTCGCACAAAGAATAATCATTAGAATTGTGTGATATAAAGTATTCCCAGATATTATTGAGAAAATCTTTGTTTCCTGATACTAATAATAGAATTTTGAAATTGGTGTTACGTTATGTAGAGAAAAGAAAGCTGGTTTCTAAATGACTTTGAAAGGATTGTGACTAATGCAAAAGAGTTATCTGGTAGACATGACATTCTTCTGTCTACAGTATACAGAACAGAAGAATATTCAGTCAAGAGTTGGGACTGAGCACAAGACAGTGGCAGGGCAGCCAAGAAGTCCGGGACCAGTACTACGGATCGCCGGCGACTTTGTGAGTAGGGGAAAATTGAAAAGCGTTGAGAATATCAGAAATGGGATGATTAATAGAGGACGTCCTCAGGTATGTAATGAAACTCTTAGACAAGAATGGGTGAAAAAGCGCGGAATTCCCTCACCATTGATGAAAGGTGCACAAAAAGAAAGACGTTTCAACTGGTGTAGGGCTCACGAAAATCAAGATCGTGATAATTTTTTTTTCTTTCTGATGAAATTTTTGTCTGCCTTTTTCCGAACTGTGTGAAAATTTGCTCTAAACTAATGCAAAAGAGTTATCTGGTAGACATGACATTCTTCTGTCTACAGTATACAGAACAGAAGAATATTCAGTCAAGAGTTGGGACTGAGCACAAGACAGTGGCAGGGCAGCCAAGGAAGTCCGGGACCAGTACTACGGATCGCCGGCGACTTTTTGTGAGTAGGGGAAAATTGAAAAGCGTTGAGAATATCAGAAATGGGATGATTAATAGAGGACGTCCTCAGGTATGTAATGAAACTCTTAGACAAGAATGGGTGAAAAAGCGCGGAATTCCCTCACCATTGCCATAAATAGCCTTTGATAGCCCGAAATTTCACATGTGGGGTGGGATATCATCACGTGGAGTGACGCCTTTGTGTATTTTCACTGGAAATTTGATATGTTAACATCTTAAATGATCACCACCTTCCAAAGGCCCGAACACTATATGAAGATAATTGGATTTTCCAGCATGATAACGACCCAAAACACACTGCGGGCTACACAAAACAGTGGTTGTCGGACGAAAATGTTTAAGTTTTAGACTGGCCCAGCTGCAACCCAGATCGTAACCCTATTGAGAATGTGTGGGGACTAATGAAGAACAAAATTAATCAAACAGGACTTAGAAATATTGAGGATATGAAGAAAGAAGTGGTCGAATATTGGGATACGCTGTCACACGATCATTTCCTTCAAACTTTGATCGGTACTGTACCTCGGCGCATTCAGTTGTGTATTGGTTGTATGGCAAGGAGGTCTCACAAATACAGAAAAGACGCTTAGACTGTAAGAGAATCGTATCTCAACATATTCAGTTAAGTAAACCGTCTATATAATTATGAATACATGTATTAGATATTTGCCGAAACATTTTTCTCAATAATTTATGGAAATACTATACCTATTTATATTGAAATGTAACGAAAACAACACATATCCCTGACTAGGATAAAATCACTCACGCTTTTACATTGACCCCAGCGTTTTTCTGCATGACTTTGGAGAAATTTGCTGTAAGAGTCCTTGCACAATCGTTGATGGCCCCACAGATCTAAATACAGAAAGCAACAACAAACTAATTTCAGCAATATATGTAGTAGTCACAAATTGTGGCACTATGTCAAGATTTTACAAACCACAGCCTTGGTCAAGTGGACAGCGCATCTGAAGTGTAACAAATATTGGTCAGCTCGAAGTCACTAATATGACTCGGGGGATTACCCTTATGAAACTGCGGTGTGTTGTCTCAGTGGTCAGGCGTTAACAGACCAATATACGTCGGCATCTGTACAAGAAGTCACACACAGAGACGCCTATGCACCTCTCTACATAAATTAATCATCGTGAAGTCGACGTTAAACCTTTTGTCACCTCGTCATTTCACTTCTGAAGTTCATGACAGACACAGTTGCATACTGTGTGGTAAATTTTCGGTTCAGGTCTCATTTCAACAATATCAAAATATGAAAACGCAAATCAAGTTCTAACGATATTGATTCTACTCAATGTATATTCATTCATGCAGCATATAGATGAAAAGAGTCACTTACCCGCCTCAGTTTGACAGCAGTGAAGGTAGGACTGACGGTATTTCTCACTCGCTTCCACGCAGCGTCTTCCATGAAACCCACACCTAAATTTAAGGGGTAGGGTACTGAAAATATCTGAAAACAGAAGTAAGGATTACAGTTGACAAAATAAAGTTTCATTTAATTTGTATGGTGAAACTTGATACATACACACGAATCCTAGGTTCATTAATAGAGTTCAAATAACAGTTATTCTGATCATTAACCACCATCTGACATCTGTTACTCAGAGTAAAAGCAGTAGCTAGTATGTGCCGATGTGTTTAGTGTTTAGGTTAGAAGGATGGCATTGTCACAAAGCCTGCATTATTGCTTTCAGGGGCCTTAATCGGCATTGCTTACCCTATGGTTTCTGAAATTGTCAAAACTCTTGACCATAACCTCTTTCAGAATTTCCAGATCAGCAATAATATAGGCGGGAGTCCTTCCAAGGAAGATTCTGCACAACAGAAACGTCATAGATGGTTAAATAACACAAGACACTCCATATCTCAAAGAATCAAATACAATCTGATGCAAACATGTATTTTGAAAAGCCAATACTCATATGTTGTTAAGTCACTGTCTTGTCGGCCACGTTCTTACACCTAACGAGAATGGTTTCGCATCGAGTTCCTATAATCTGGTCTGTGTGTGACGGCGATACGAGCTTGGCTAACTTTGCTTGATATAACTGAATATACATACATGCATACATACCCAAAAACAGTCCCATATCGCTTACTCCAGGCATACAGATCATGTCCGAGATTCTGCATAAAATGGAGTGAATGAACTTTGCTGTTATACTTCAACTTGACATTATTATATTTATCTTATGTTCAAATATTCTTCACTTTCCTCATCTGCCACAAGTCTAACAGGAGAGAATATTGTCAAAGGAATATCAACACATCTCAAGACCTACTTCGAAACATCTGCTTTACCGAATGCTGAATTTGAAGCCAAAAGGGAACGTTGAAAAAAGATTAAAAGGGGAGATTATTGTCAAAAGAATATAAACGTATACTGCAAACTAAAAAGGCGTGAAATGGGATCAGATCCCGGAAATCTGTTGGATTTCGACACTGACTTTGAAAGAACAGAGGGGTTTTTTTTACGCAGAGTCCGTTTTACAATTTCCAAGTATGTCACTAGATGGTTCATGAAACACAATAAAACAGGGATGATATTTGAGGAAAGGTGAGCGTTTCCTGACCAACATTAGGTACGGTCACAAACATGAGAAATGAATATACAAAAGAAAATCAAGTATTGACCCGAGGAAATGCGGGAAAGAAGTCAAAATATGGCGAAGGATAACTAATCTAAGGACTCGCAGGACTCTAAACGTATCAGAATTCAGGCTGCTGAACTCATTGTATTGCATCACGGTTGTACTAGCAACACTCACATCTTTTCTTTGCGTTGCCTGAAAATTGGAAATTCATCATGATGCTAGACGTATATACCATTTGGAAAGATGCACACAATTTTCATTATTAATTATAGATCCACAGCCTGATATCCTGTTCAAAAGACAAAAGTCACGTCTACGTAGTGGAATAAGTTTCCTTGGTCTATTTCATATATGTAATCATGTCATCACCTGCATAAGAATAGCATGAAGCTAATGCTTTAATTTAGGTTCAATAATATTTAGGCCCCACACAAGCGCGTCTATTGTAATGCCACATCTCTTGACAAGGTCATCAGTAAATTGGTCAACAAGGTTAGTGCCTGTTCAGTTTTCAGTATTTAATGTTCCCCTCTGTCCACCCGTCAGCTTTTTGAAGGGCAGTCCACATTTTGAAGCATCAACGAATCATGTTCGTCTTTATTACACAATTTTAGTTAAAAAGATAGATACATAACCGAGATGGGTTTCTCAGATTGCTGAAATCCACTGTACTATTCCGTCTATTTCAAGATCATGGAATGTAAAAATATCCTCGAAAAATGTCCCCCTAAAACATTTTCGAAAACTTTGCTAATACCATGAATGCATCAAACATGATCCAATAACTTTTGACAAAGATGTATAGGTGAAAAGAAAACTCGATTGTACGCTGATTAAATTGCGGATAATGACACCAAGGGCTCGACACAAGGAGACAGGGACAACACAGTTTTATAAAACCTACCGGACCAGTGTTTCCAATACAACACGTTGGTTGTGGCCCCGGGATGCCTTGTTTCTTGAAGTAATTGTAGTTCCATGTTCCATATCTGTAAATAGAAACGGCAAAACCTTTTCTTCATCCAAATGACATTTCTTCTAAAATCGTACAATTCTGACGATAAAATGAGAATGTGTTGATTTGACGCTATATGCCATGTTCAAGTCAATGATGAACTACTTACACCGTGTTGAAGACATTCTCATTTTCATAGCTGCATCAAGGAATGCAGATCTTAGGTTGCATCTAGAGGCTGGTGAAGAACTGAGCAAACTCTTTTTTTGCAATGGATCGGATCAAATACAAAAGACTGTGGCCCAGACACTTAGCAGATATGTATGCTCTGAGGTCAAAAGATCCATACACATGGAATGAACTGGCTAATGGAAATAAATCATTTTCGAAGAAAGGTATCCCCTTGTGTCCACTGGAGCTGATCATGCATGTGAACAACTGAACAGACTAATGAAGGTACACTCTGGTCTTGTTGGCATATCACGGAATGCAAATGCAAGACAGCGTTTTTTTCTGGCAGCACCTGAGTTGTCACGCTTAGCAAATGAGTTCAAAAGTCAGTTTGATTTTGAAGCAGCTAAAGTCAAGGAGCATCATGACCTTGCACCAGGTGCTATCCAGCAGGACCATATTGCAGTTGACAAAATCAAGAATGCTATCCTGAGTCATGGGAATCCTTTTACTGTTGAAGGGGACAAGCTGCAGAATCTGATAACACATGCATATATTCAAGATCAGTATGTCTCTCAGATACTCAACATAGATAAGACCGGGCAAAAGTTGTATGAAGAATATGTGGCAGAAAGAATCAATGGAAAAGTCAGCCTATGGACTCCAGTGAAGAAGGAAAACAACCATCTCTACATGTCTGACAGCAAGAAACAAACAGTGAAACTTCGAGACAAGATTGTGGACCTGAAAGAAACAAAGGACTTGTATGGACGGCTGATGATTTTAGCCAGATCAAGCCGCGATATTGACCTGAAACATGCTATAGGGAACTATGAATTTACACTGACACCAAGAGCATTCTTTTCCCCGGATGGCATGTTGTTACAATGTACAGACAAGTCAAAACTCATCAGTTGCCTTGAGGAACTGGGTAAAAGTCATAATATTATGATCAGTGATCCAGAAATGGCCCCTCATCTTGACCAAATTGACTCTGCAGTGTATAGGATTGCTGTAGCTGAAGGTATGGTTCTTCATCAGAAGATGACACCGTTACTTCCTGCAGTGGAGACAGTAAAGGATCTAAGTCAGTGCTTCAATAACCGACTGATGAGCCTTACACGAGAATTTGATGAAGTCATTCTTGTGTTTGATACCTATAAACCTGATTCACTTAAATGGTCAACAAGGGAAAAAAGACGTCATGGCAAGGATCCTGTCCAGTACCAAATAACTGATGAAACAAGAATCAATCACATCACATTGAAGCGATTCTTATCTCATGACCAAACCAAGGATGACCTTGCAGAGTACCTAGCAACAAAGACCATGGAGTACACAACAAGGATTCATCAAGCTCTTCAGCATCGGGTAACACAAGAAGTAACAGTAACAGTCAAACAACCATGAAGAGGCTGACACACTGATGATCTACCAAGCCATCTGTGCATCTCAGCGAAACTCGTGTGACTCTGAACTTGTTTTCTTCTCTCAAGATACTGACGTCCTCGTGCTAATCATAGCAAATTATGATCACCTGCCAGTAAAGACATCTATCTGCATGGCATCAGGTGAAGTACAAATACAGCCTATATGGAAATCACTTGGGGTTGAAAAAGCGAAGGCTCTGCCAGCCTTCCATGCCTTTTCTGGAGCTGATAACACAGGTAGATTTTCTCGCATTGGGAAGACAACTTGGTTCAAGACGTTTCTAAGAGCCACCCGAAGACACTGTTGAAGCTTTGCAGCTGCTGTATTGTAGAGAAGATCTTGATGAAGAAACCTTTTCAACATTAGCTAGGTTTGTATGTGCTGTGTATTGTCCAAAATCAATCACCTTGAATGAAATTCCTGAACTCAGATGGTATCTCTTTTGCAAGCACATGGCTGAAAGTGATAGGCTCCCTCCAACACTTGGTGCCTTGAAACAGCACATTCACAGAGTTCAGATGCAGGCATGGGTATGGGCTCAAGTTCATGTTGCCAAACAAGTCTTCTTGGACCCAATGAGATACGGGTTTCATAGGAATAAGGATGCTCAGCTTAGACCAGTCACCACAGATGTTCTGCCAGCTCCCCAGGCTATTCTCGAGATGGTTCGATGCCAGTGCAAGACAGACTGTTCAACTCAGCGGTGTACATGCAAATCAAAGGACTTACCATGTACTGAACTTTGTCAATGCAGTAATCAGTGTGAGAATGAAGAGTCTCAAGTGGAGGAAACAGTTCCTGATGATAACTTTGATGAACTGCTGTAAATATATCTTATGATGAGTGTGAAAGACCTCTCCTTTCGGTGACATTGTGGATATTTACCTTCATCATTAATGACAACTTTTCGATTGGAGATATGATTACATGTCTGAAATGGAAATCGCGATGATATTGATGACTTGCTGTAAATGGTGTTGTGTATTTGGTGCTTATACTGTCTGAAGATTGCAACATCTGAGGATAGACATTAACCTATCAATTCTGTGACATTGTGGACATTCATCTTCAACCTGTTCCTATGCTTACACCACTGATCAACAAGTTAGTAGTTTCATTGATTTTTAACAGCTAATGTGGTTATCTTAACATTCATAATATTCTTGTTTTATACAGAGCAAAATAAGTATAACAATATACAAGTGTCTGGGAGTTCAGTGTATAGATATATATATCATAAATAGCTGATATGAAATATGTAATGTTTAAATTTTGTATATAATAACACATTTCCCCTTTATGTATACACAGTAACAGTGTCTTTGATACTGTGGTGTATACAAGTAATCCTTAACAGCATAAAATCTTCAAATATATACTGAAAATAGAACCAGAATTGTACTTAAAAGTGAAAAAAAAGGGTGACACATTATTGAATGTGGCAGCAATTTTGAAATCCAAGATGGCCACCAATGGGATGATGGGAATAATTGGAAACATTGTTTTTTACATCAAGTGTAGTGAGTGGTTTAAGAAAATGTATGCTGTTGCTAATCTCCAATTTCTTTGAACGAAAATACATAATACAATGGACTACTACATTCAGTTGTCTTACAGCTGTGCGACATGTACGACAGAGCATGTGTTTATGAGCACTGAGGATACCAGGTGTTCAAGAAATGGTGAGCGTCTATTCCTCCGTCAGTGGCACCACTCCAAAACATAAGCAAAGTTTATCATCCCTTTTCTCATGCAGCCTCTTCGAGTTTTGTTTCTCAATCTAAATCTCCATCTTCACGAGAGGTGGCTAAACAACTCGGGTCTATGTGAGGACCGTGTTTATGTAAAAGAATCTCATTGATAGACATCACACACACACAGACACGCAGAGTGAGAAGGGGAGGCCCCTACTTACACATGTAAGCAAACATACACATGACCACACACGTTCATGCACACCGATGTGTTAGATTAAATAAGATTCTTTGTTCTTCCCCTTTAGCCATGAACGTGCGAGTTTCAAATGCGTCAGCGTATCTTTGCTTACATAAAATTGCCAATAAGCGTTTTGGTTTTACTTGAATAGGGTGAACGTTTAACAGTATGTTATAACTTGACTGAGTAACCCTACTCTATTTGTTGCTGATGTCAATGGTAATGTATTCTGCATAAATTTATAAAATGGAATCATTTTAGAATTAGTATTGTTTCGACAATATCATGTCAAATTATATCTAATTATATTCTGTTACACAATGAAGCCTCCTAGATATGCTGCGACGGTGCTAACTGTTTTCCACAAACAAAGTTCCTTACTCACATGTATATCAGCACTGTGGCCGCCAAGCACAGGAGGAGAGACAGCGGCACGTCCACAAGCCCCAAGATCTCCATGTCGATATGACGACTAAATCAGTAAACGGCTCTTATAACACCGACGAACAAACATACGTGTCCTAGTTATTGCGAAATGGGGACGTGTCAGCTTGACCGTGATGTGGGCTGAGTTCCCGGATTGACACATGCATACTGATTGCATTTGGTGGTCGGGAAAGGGGTGACCTTCACTGTAAAAGGTGTCGTGTGCATACACTGCGCTTGTCTGCTCTAGCTATAGGTAGTAATGACTGGGAATGAACGTGTGTTCGTGATCCTGTATTGTGAGGATCTATTTGCAAGACTAGTGTTTATAGATTTATCATTGCTGTGACATGAAAACATTTTGGGCTTGATATGAAATTTTGCAATCTTCGCAAACCTCTGACGGTTTGTCTGTCCTGATGATGTTAACATAGCGAGACTAAGATTATTCAGAGCTAGTGAACTTCTAAAGAACCAGCGCAAAGACGCTCACCTAATCCGTGCAAATGTACCTACAAAACTAACCTCGCTGGTCAGGTTTGCCTGCATTTATATTCATCGTAATGGCTGTGACATCGCTTGTGTGAACAGCTCTCTCTCTTTCGTCCCGATTGTCATGCTTCATCTATCGAAACTATATTTTTGTTTTTTCCTCGCACAACCAACGTAATTGTATATATCATTAGTATGGATTAGAAACACTAAAGTGACATTGCCTTGATTATTATGTTAATTCAGCGTAAATGAATGTTTGATGTTTGCAGCTATTACACCACATGTACAGAAGCCTGTTTAACCTTTATCATACCGGTACTACATCCCATTGTCAGACACACTTCAAAGGACAAGGTATGATAAAGGCCCTTTTTGGCCCACAAAATTTCATGATATTCAAAGTTCTACAACATGATAATTTTAGCATAAAAAATGCTAAATAAATTGTTGAAATTACCTCCATATGTTTTTTTATACGTTTTAGTGCTGTTTTTTTCCTCTTTGAAGACCTCAAAGTTAACCTATTTTACAATATCTTCGAAAAACCTGCATTTTCATATTTTCAGAGTGATAAAAAGTGTGAGCAAAAGCTTGACCCATCCCAATTTTTTCACCACACATGAAGAGAGTAAATTAGAATGCACTCCTAAAAATTGTGGTGGGTCACGCTTTTGCTCATATCAAAATGTTTAAAAAAGTACATTTTTTCTGTTGTATGAAATTGCCCCATACAACATCTCAAAAATAAACATTGGCGTAAAGTAATATCTCTGAAAACTATTCGTCACATTTACACAACTATACCATGATTCATTACTATTTGGAATGTTTTAGAGCACTAAAATGAACTTATCAAACATGTTTATTAACAAATTTCAATATCGTAAGGGACTCTCAAGGCTGATTACTTTGAGGTAAACAAGGGTAGTTTTTTGGAGACCCTGTTGATCACTGCTAGAAAAATAAGAAGACATCAGAAGATTTTTCAAAATATGATCAGGCAGCATTCTAAAGGTGAGAATCTTTGTAATTATGCTAGAATTTTATCATATTTGTTCTATCATCTGTTTAGCAAACCCCTCTGTGTCACCTGTCACTGTCAAATAACACTGGCATTCCACTGGGTGTAACTGTGTATAAACATACACATTTTAACAAAAGTAATGTACCTTGATGTTTGCTAGGATATATCAGGCTACATTTAATATTGTTAGAATAAGAACATTGTATCAAGGTCTAGCAGATTATGAAAAACAAGCAGATGCCAAGTGACACATTGTTGCAAAGTGTAATATATAAGCTTAAAGTTACAAATAGTAACAGTAGAATCTGTAGCCTAGTGGTTACAGTGATGGCCTCTGAATTTTTTTCTGTTATCAGACATTCAGGTTCAAATCCTAATAATTTTTTTCTTTTCTTCTTTTTTTTTCTTCAAAAGTTAAGTTAAACATTGTAAATTGGCTGACAAAACTTGTGCACATGAAATACAAATTTTGTAAAAAAAAATTCTTAAGTTTAGTAATGTAAGTTACACTGTTCAAACAAACTTGAATTAACATCATGTAAATCTTGTTTAAGCCTGAAGACACTGACTTTTCCACTTTGTTCCCACACAATAAAGAACCTGTAGAAGGTAAGCATTGTTTCAAAATGTTAGTATGGTAATTTCTTTAAGTAAATATTTACAAACTGCCCAGAGCTGTTAATTAGTGGTGCACTGATCAAACAAATAATTAGTTTATGGATATTTTGTGGGCTGCCAGTCAATTACTGATAACCAAATCACATAATCAATTACAGCGTTCACTCTTTCTTCTTAAAAATATGTTTACAGAATCAATGACTATTGGTTTCAATTGTCATATTGAAACTGAGGACTGATTACCTTTGTTTTCATGTGCTCTAACAGTTGTTTTTATCTTATATCTATAATTGATCAAAAAGTGGCCTCAACAATTGATTATGCTTTTGGAGGTCAATTCCCTTCCCTATATAACTATACTATTGACATGTTTAGCATTAGAAAAATTAGAAAGCACCAATTTCTTGAACATAATGATAATTCTTTTATGATTTCAAATATTTGATTTCAGATAAGAGAAATTTGCTTGGACTGATTTCAGGAGTGTCATTTCATGAAGATGACAACTTAAAACTTGAGGTGGAAGGTAAGCATTATATGAGTGCTAAAAAATAACCAATATTTTTTTCTTCAATTTTTTAATTTAATGTGACAGAATTTCAGAAATACTGATGTCTCAGTAAATCTGCATAAGCCTTCAAGGCCAGATTACTGAGATTTGAAAATAAAAAAGTAATGTTACCCTTGAATAGATTTATAATATCAAAGTTTTAAAACAGAATTTTCTTTTGATATAAAGTCATCTGTTTTTCAGTTGAGAGAAGATCTGGGTATGACAGACACCAAAACAATATGCCAGTTTCCAGCAACTCTAGTGATACACGGTTGAATGCTGCAGTTCTTGACAGTGATTCAGAAACTGATTCAGAGATTGATGACCATGTGGATGAAGAGTGAAAGTGGATGTTTTATATATCTTTGCAGTGAATGAGTTGTGAATAATTACTTTTTGAAGATTTTTGAATACTGACTTTTAACACTTACTTGGTGTCAAAATCAAGCTGTGCCAAGAATGTAATTTCACCTGAAATAGGCCCCTTTGAGGTCAAGACCTGTGCTTTTTAGTGCAACATGATTGGTTATTATAACAACATGTTGAGAATGAGATGTTTACTGTATATATTTGCAAGAATGTTGTAAATACTGACTTTTAACACTTACATGGTGTTAAAATCAAGCTGTGCCGAGAATGTAATTTCACCTGAAATAGGCCCCTTTGAGGTCAAGACCTGTGATTTTTAGTGCAACATGATTGGTTATTGTAATAACATGTTGTGAATAAGATGTTTACTGTATATTTGCTAAAACCGGTTGTGAATACTGACTTTTAACACTTACTTGTTAAAATCAAGCTGTGCCCAAAATGTAATTAGACCTAAAATGGGCCCCCTGTGATTTTTCGTGGGACATGATTGGTTATCATAAGTACATGTTGTAAAATTGACCTATAGTTTATGTTTGCAAAGAAAGTTGTGAATAATGAGCTTTTTTGTAATCAATTGGCAAGTAATTGAATTACTGTCCACAATGTATTGCAACCCTAATTGGGCCCCTTGAAGTTAAAACCTTGTGATTGATGTTGACATGTTTCTTCATCATGAATACCTGTTGCAAAACTGATACTGTTTGTATGTAAATAAACTGATAGTTGTATATAAGTCATTATGGCACACTGATATTTCAGATTTCTTGTTATTTTTTCATGGGAACTTATAAAACCCATTTTTGGCCCCTCTACATTGAAATTATGGCCTCAGATCATTTAAAAAATAGCTTTTTTATGCAAAGCCATCTTGTCTCTAAACAAATAACATGTGTTCAGCCAATTTTGTTTGTGGGCCAAAAACCACCCTTATCATACCTTGTCCTTTACAGGAGAATCTCATAATGGTGTGACTAAGAAAAATCCACAATTTCATAGTGATATCAAGAACGGTTTCAGGGATACAGGTATGTTCCCATATGGGAACATTAGCAGGATCATCGTAAAGAATGAAACAATCACTACTTTTTTTGTAACACATCTTCTATTTCTTTGAAATATAGTGAACAAACATTCTTTAACACCTAAATTGATTATGGAGGAATGTTCTGGGAATACCTAGGTAATGAAATATTTGTTTACAGTGGATTGGTATTGATTGCTACCTCCACTAACGCAGCTGGAATGGGTTTTCTTCGCAAAATTTCAGCGACAAAAGCCATGTGGCAAGTGTTCCTGAATGCTAGTCCAGCCTTGTCAAACCTGCTCTTGAACCAGGTCATCTGGTTTTAATGGGGGGATTTCAATATCCATGTTGATTCTGTGTCTGACTCCTTTGCTACATCTTTCTGTGACATGCTGGTATATTTCAATCTCCTACAGCACGTGTCTGGTCCAACTTATTGATCAGGTCATACACTAGACCTAGTCATACCCAAGGATAGTTGTCATATTCTCGATGTCGTTGATGTTAGTGACAAACAGATATATGATCATTCACTTATTCAGTGCTCTTTCAAACTCACTAAACAAGTGAGAAAAGAAATTAGCTACAGGAAGACATGAAATATAGACATAAGGCAGTCTTCTAATGACATTGGATCTTCTGAGCTGCTACAGTCACTCTCTGATTCTTGTGGAGTTGATGATAAGACTGATGTATGCGTATCACGAATATTGGATAAGCATGCTCCTCTGAAGTCTAGTTCTGTTGTCATTCGTCCTCACTGTAGCTTTTTCTGCCTCAGATCCTCTACTGTGGAACGATCCACCTCTTCCTGTAAGGACTTTCTCTTACAAACCTCATTTAAGACTTTTCTTCAAGCAAGCCTGTGACTAGCTATTCTCAATTACTTTTTCTTATATGTCCTGTACAAAGCTCCACTGAGCAACCTGTATGGATGGAGGAAATTAGGCGCTATAGAAATAGATTATTTTAATGTTTTTCAGATTCAAAATAGTATATAGGAAAGACCGTTCTGGTGATCCTGGCACAGTCATGCTGGTAAGGTTCATCATCAGCTCAGGGCCTTGTCCCCTCTACATGCAGCCCAGACAGCGAATGGGACTTCTCTCAGGAAACGCTGCCTAGTCGAACCCACCAAGAACTTTCCGGAGAATATGTAGACTCCCCGCTCCTGGCTGAGAACCCGGGCACTCTCCTGATCTGCGCCAAGAGATCAGGAGGTACCAAACCAAGGGCAGCGAGAACAATGGGGAACCTGATGACAGTAGACTTGGGAAGCAAGCGAGACATTGCAAAGCCGAGACCCGCATATTTAGCATGCTTTTCGCGAATCCTGCCAATCACATTGCTGTCAAAAGGACAGAAAATTCAATAACCATAAATAAATTCATTGGTTTTATCAAGGACGATATATCATTCGAAATTAATAATTGAACAGATAATTTGTTGTTTTTCTTATCTGTTAATACAGTTTATGTGAATATATTGATCTTAACGATGATCCTGCCAATTCAAAATTTTGACCTTAATTCCTGCTACCATGATAAAATGTATTTTGCCCGTTTATTCCCTTATATCATTTGTTTGTAAGGACATGTGAAAACAGTCTTAAAATACTGCAATTGTATTTGTCAATTCTTTTATTGAACGGTTTCGGTTGAAAACTCGTTTTGGGGGGGCATTTTTGGACCCTGGTCAATTCTTTAAAAAAGATTCAAAGAATAATTTTGAAATGTTAGAACATTGGCAATTATCTTAAGAACAATATGGTCCAAAAGCATTAACATATCTTCACGCATAAAAGAGTTACAAAGCCTTTTATGACATGTACCCATATGGAAACACTGGCATGACAAAGGTTAAAATATGGTTAAACAGTCAGAATATGTTCAATGCATCGGCATGAATACAGCGCAAACATTTCGATACAGTTATAAATCTTTAATATATACTGAAAGCCATTAAAAATTCAATTTGACATTCATACTTTCTTTACTCACACTAATTTCAACATATATACACCAAACTGGCAGATATGTTTTAAATGAACATCTGTGAATAATTTTATCTGAAAATGTCCAGTCAACAACAACATCAGTGAAGCAACAACGACATCAAACAAAGGAGGGGGTCACTTGCAGTCAATATCGTGTGTGTCTACCGTGCGCTGCAAGACATGCTCGCAGTCTTTGGGGCATTGAAAGACACACATTTCTCAGGAACAGCTGTTAGATGGTCTGCAGCTTCTGATGGTCTGTGGTCTGATCATGACACCACCCCCTCCAAAACGATCATGTCCAAGGACACAGTTTGGCGCAAGTCTTTCTCCTTTACGTAGATAAATCTGTTGACGTCCATCTGCAAAGGATAAGTTAAACCTGGATTCATCTGAAAAAATGACATCTGGCCATGTCCTGTTGCCAAGATTGGCCCCATTTGCTGCCCATGGCTGTCTGGTAAGTCTGTGGCGATGCAATAAGGTTGGACCACTGTACGGGTGACGACACTGGATGTTGAAGGCAGCAAGGCGTCCTTGCACCTTTTGGGCGCTGAAAAGACGTTGACTTATCCCACTTGTCCTCCTTGCCTAATCATCAGCTGTTTGGAACCGATTTCGCAAGTGTGAAACTCGGATATTGCGGTTTTGTCGAGCTGTTATCACAGGTGGTGCACCAGGTCGCGGACGATCAGCAACACTTCCGGTATCCCGAAAACGTTGTCTGAGTCGACTTACAGTGGATGGATGCACATTAAAGTGCCTGGCAATCATCACATCTGAAGCACCTTGGCTGACCATACCGATAACCTGATTCCTTTCGTCTTGTGTCAAGTGTGGCATTTTTTCAAAGTGATTGAGTTCCACAATTCCTTGTGCTTTTACAGGGCCTGGGTGCAGGTAATGCATGTGCACAACGTGTTTCATGAATGTGGTTGTGTTTACGAGAAATGTCAAAGGTTCAGTTTTAAGTATCAAAGTTCATGTGAGAGGAATGCTCCGGGACTCGAACTCGAAATGGGCCAGAATAACAGCCTTTTATCCCTACATCCTCTGTATCGCAGGAAAAAATCTTCAATAGAACTTTTGTAAGTTTCAGGACAACAAATACCAATTGCGTTTTTAATGGCTTTCAGAATATGTTACATGTCGGTGGGAATCGCATGGTCTTTTCAGAATTATTCGATGCTGTGAGAGCAAGAAATCTTATACTTACAAAGCGTTTGGAGATATATAAATTGGGAAAGCTTTGTTTCGTATTGTGTTTGGTTGCATGTTGACTCAATTTCAAAACTCCCTTAGCCTCTATTTCTGAGATGTATAATTACAGTAACTTATGGTAAAATTTATTCAGAAGCTATAATGAGATATACAAATTTCAGTATGTCATGGAAACAGGAAAGTATCTGAAATGTACACACTTGAATGCGGGCATTAGCTCATACCGGCATCAGCACATGTCCCTCAATGTGTTTCATTTGGTTAGCGTCATACCTGATCTTGCTTCACCAAGATAATAAACGCCTGAGACCTGCATAACTTCAAGTTTCACCTAAACTTTGCGTTAAAACATACAGAGCCAGGTTAAGCCAATGGCACTCACTTTACGGATTGAGTGTCTTACAGGCTGAGTGTCACATCAGCACAGCACACCAGAGAACAAGATTTACAAGCAATACAGATGTGCCAAAAGTGCAAGGCTTCTCGTTTGATTATTATAAGAATTCAAGGTGGAAGACAATCAGTTTTCGATGCCCACTGATTTAAAGTGGTAAAACATATATATATAATCATTGGTTTGTACACAATTTGGAGACATATACATTCTTTGAACTAATGTTGCATTGTCGCCGTTTTCAACATCTTGGAGACACTTTCAGTATGATGTCCTTGTCTGGTTGAAGAATAGTTGGATTCTGAGCAAACGTCAATACTTCCTGTGAAGAAAACAATATATATGCAGTTGTAACATGAATAGGAGTACGTGGTTATGTCTATAGCCTAAACAAGAACGCAATGATCAATGAACAACATTCAGAAACAAACTAACCCTTTTCCATTGCAAAGCCGTTTTGTGAATTTCCTTTAGAAATAAACTGTCCTTATTCCAGCAAAAAAGCAATTCTCTAAAATCCTGGGAATTAAGATTTCTTTTATTACCAAAACAGGACTAAGTTAGCAGTGATTTGTTTGGGGGCCTTTCTCATTATTAAGTTAACACAATATATTCAAATGTAGGTTAGCGAAACCAATACGGAATTACATGAATTCAAAGATGTAATCTGTTTGGTTATCTGGCAAATGTTAAATGCTACGCTGAAGAGATGTATATTTGCATGGAGACCAGTAAGTTGTATGATAACCCTAACGTAGTATGATAACCCGAAAGTTGCATGAGAGTGCTGTCGTTTGATAATCCTGACGTTTGGGTCATAACCAAAACGTTGTTTGATAACTTCGTTGATGTGATTTCTGTTTCATTTGTTGACTGAGCATGCTTATCCTTTCGGCAAACACTTAGCTTTCCAGTTATTCATTCATAATATAATTTTCACAGCTATTTGTCCCTTTACATCGTACGGAATTTGTCTCTGTGTACAGTCTGGACTGCGTATTCTTCTGCTCTAACGATCTAAATTCGACTGGGTTGATGTTTTGTGCTGGTGGTCTGAAGTCCCCGAGATTCATAGTGTGTTCAGTGGTATATTTAAGTATGCTAAGTTAATAAAAGAAATGTTTGTTCCGAGGCATTAAACCTGACCAAAAGGTGTTGTGGATCAAATCTATTTCCCAAACGTTTTTCTTTATTTATAAGCATAGGGTTGTTTGCACTCATACACAGTATTCGTAATTGCAAATTATTTAAGTGAATCTTCCATTTCATTGCTAAGTTTAGTTGGGTTTTTTTTGTACCGACTGATGTTCCACTGATGTTCTATATCTTGGTTCTAAAATTATATAATGAAAGAATCCTACCGGTGTGTCGGGCATACGATCAAACTTCACGGCCCTCAGAACATTAACCAAAGCAACTTTAACTTCAACAAGAGCAAGCCGCATCCCAATGCAGGCCCTGGGGCCAAATCCGAAAGCTTGGAAGGCAACAGTTTTGTCTTGGTCTTCAAACCTGAAGTACAGTTTCTTGCAGTTACTTAATTATAATATTTCAGTCTATCTGTTCAAGGCAATGCTTAGAACACATGTAGGCTACTGTGATACATTTAACAAATAGTCAAAACTTATTGTACCGAAAAATGTAGGATGGTTAGTGTACACGATGGGGGTTCAAAGTAAGCATGAGTGAGTCCGGAAATATGTGTTACTCTTCACTGGTCTATAACACCGCTTTAAACAACAGTATTTCAGTTATGGCAGAGAGTATAAACTAGATCTTGGAGGAAAGTTAAAAGAGGTGTAGGTTTTAGATGTTTCCTCATTTACTTCCTGTTAATCCCATGTATAGCCGAGTACGGCCATATTGTTCTATATGGACTTCAATGAAGGCCGACCGTCTGATATTCTGGGGCTCAGTTATGTTTGTTACCAATATATTCCAGAGTTGATTGTTTTGCATGTTTTAAAATCACCAGCTAGAATATCACGATGTCAGACCCATACCTTTCTGGCTTGAAGGAATCAGGATCGTCGTAGAGCTCAGGATTTCTGTGTATGGCCATCACAGGAATGAAGATATCTTGACCCTTAGAGAAAGTTAGGCCTTTGATCTGAGTGGGCTCAGAAACAGTTCGGTCAATCCTAGAATGAAGAATACGTTTGGATACGCTTGGGAAAGGCAAGATGTTTTTAAATGTGATTTAGTTGTTGTGCATTGATGCTTAACATGTTACATTTTACCAGGTTTCTTGCAAAAATATGTTTGAAGGATTACCAGACACTCGGTAATTTTCGATCTTTCTGTTCATTACATTTGGTAGCTACTATTGATGTTATGTCAATGAATGACTGAGCTGGGTTCAGTATTTAGTTATAGTAATGTGGGAAGATATATGGAAGATAATACTGCTTTGTTTACAAACCCTGTGAGTTTGGTGTATGTAAGTTCTGATAGCAGGGTGATATGCCAATGTTTGGTTGTTGTGGAACGCCTCACTGAGCAATCTTCCACCTATATATGACTGCGAGCTGTAACAATCGATCCAGGAACAGACAAGGACATGTACAGTATTGTGATCAAAGATCTGATCAGTCGTGGTACAACGACACACAATCAACAATGGCCCCAGGACTGACCAAACGATCTACATGGTCATCTCCTACCACCAGTATAGGTTGCTAACCTAGAATTCCACCGTGTAACTAGACAAACTGTAGTAGCCTTATGCTATAAACAATACTAGATTACATTATATTGCCTTTATATCCCTATTGTGTCACTTACACAAAAGCCGGCGGGTAGAGCCTGAGCGTCTCTGTGATCACGTTGTCCAGATACTTCAGTTTCCCAATGTTGCCATAGTTTGGTTCCTCCTGGCGGCAGACAAACACAGACTGTCAATATCCCAGTATTTGGAGTGAGTGATTATAACGTTTGAGTTAGAAAGAGGGCAGGGGACCTTACAGAGATGGAGAAAGTTGCTCTTCCTTATCTTTAAGTATACTCTTGTTGAGTTACCTTCACAATAATTTCAAATAAGAATAATATGAAACACGTTATTTATGAACTACTGATGTGTCACATTTCTAAGCACAATAAAACATAAATAGTTGTAATATTTACGTGATTCTTTATTTGATAATGTTAGTGAATAAAACAGTTTATCAATATCCAAACTATGGACAAAGAAAACGAACGTCATAGACGAGACTAAAAACAACGAATAGAAAATGTATTTGATCTCTTGGTGGTGTGTTTTGTCATTTCGACGCTGTTTCATCATTTCACCCGTGATCGTCTCAAAGAAGGCAACGGATTTTTGTGGAAAGAGTCCAAGGCCGAGCTTATTGAAGACTGGTCCAAGTGCTGGAACAGCATCTTCAAACAGAAACAGAATCCATTTCAACCTTTAAAATGTCGTTGCAAGCAACGATGAGGGATCCTTGGCTTTAGTTCTATCTATTGTATTTGAGGGCAAGAAATCATCATTCCAAAACGAAGCCAGAACACGTTTTTTGACAGGCGAGCGGATCTTCCAAATACAGCCGGGGTCGCGGGGGTGAGGTACCTTTAAAGAAGTTCTGGAGAAGAAATAGTTCCCTCTTTAAAAGGCTGTATCTCAGTTGTTCTTGGGTCTACGGCACAATGGTTACTGGACATCAGTTATGGAATGTTTGGAATGTCTAGAGCTGATGGTTGGAGCTCAGCACATTTTGGGAGCAAACTACTCAGAAAACTGCTGAAAAACATGGCCAAAAACTGAAAACAAAAATACCTGCCAAACGGTACATTTTAGCGACTTGACCCATGCAGGCAAAATTGTTGGGAATTCGATTGTGCATCTGTACAAGAGATTTGGAAGTGTTGGAACAATGAGTTCTTGAGATATTAGATGTCAAACTTTGAAATTTTGGAATTTATTTTGAATTATCTCCCCTTTGCTATTGGGCCTAGAGCCTAGAGATTTTAAGGGGAATATCTTCACCTCGGTGAGCATCTGTTTGATTTCTTGTAAGCGATTCGGATCATTGGTTTAGGAGGTATTTTTGGTACAAAAATCGGCGGAATAATAAATAATAATAATAATAATAATCCGAACGATTACAATAGGTCTCCTGCCTGAAGGCATGGACCCCTAATAACAATGCAGGCATTGGGATGTACCGATGGTTAAAGCGTTCGCACGTCACATTTATGTCATGCCCTGTTTGCATCCCCACATATATTTGAAGCCCAGTTCATGTGTCCCCACTGTGATATTGCTGGAATATTGCAAAAAGCGGCAAACAAAAAAAGCAAAAAATCCACACTCACTCACTTAACGAAGCCATTACATTCAGCTACTGTTACTGAATTTATGCAGCGTGAAGGGAATTTACTTTAACCGGCATTATTGAATAAGTTTCCTAGTCTCTTACCTGACAATGCTGAGGATACCACTGCCAGTTTTGTTGGTTGGAATAACGTCTTAGCATGAACGACAAACGGGTGGTTGAAATCTGTTTGCGAATCAACCTTTATCCCAAATGCAGTTTGGCAAATCACATCCATAGAGAAAGCTCCAAAGTATCTAAAAGAGAACATTTCGAACTTCGATTCGTATAATACTGCAGTTTTAACAGTAAACTAGAGTTTTCTCTAATATGGTTTATCATTCCAAAGTCATTTCAAATTCTGATCTGTCAATTATTGGATTGCGCCGTCAAGCAACAAACAGATACGACAAATTATGATCATTAGTTTGCCATGATAGGGACGTGATTACGGATGAGTAATGATTCACGACGGAGTGTGGCATGCATGTTACCAATTTTTGTCCGGGCTTTAACTCTGGTATTTGGTATCATACTGTCCAATTGTACTATTTACTAACACACTGAAAATATGGCGGAGGACACTCTTTTTGATCACACAAGGAATAATCTTTTGGAATTGTGTGATATACCTATCTACATCAAAATGTAACGAAACAATTAAATACCTCCATACTGCGAACAATACACTCACTGTTTCATATTGACTCCAGCGTCTTTCCCCATGACCTTCGCGAAATTTGTTGTAAGAGTCCTTGCACAATCGTTGATGGCTCCGCACATCTAAATACAGAAACGAAAAACAACCTAATTCCTTCCATACGAGGGGCTATCAAAGTTTTGAGCCTAAAATATTTAGAGGCAGAACACGCAACGATGCAATCCCCATTTATTTCTCAACACAACCGCTTTGTAAGTCGATGCAGTTGGTCCAGCTTGTCTGCCACATCTAAATACAGAAAGGAAAAACAAACTAATTTCGACAATACATATAGCAGTCACAAATTGTGACACTATCTCCAGATTTTATAAACCAAAGCACATCTGTAGGGTAACAAGTACTGGCCAGCTCGAAGTCAGTAATATGCCTCAGGGGATTACCCTTGTGTAACTGTGGTATAGCATCTCAGTGGTCTAGCTTTAACAGAGCAACATATGTCGGCATCTGTACAAGAAGTCACACACAGAGACGCGTATGCACCTCTCTACATAAATTAATCATCGTGAAATCGACGTTAAACCTGTTGTCACCTCGTCATGATTGACACAGTTTTGATTGTATACGGTGTGGATCTATTTTAAGTTCAGGTCTCATTTCAACAATAACAAAATCCCCCCCCAAAAAATCAAGTTCTAACTGATATTGATCCAAACCGAAACATGAGTCTGATTAACCAATTCAGACAATGACCTACTTTTCAGCCAATCCGTGTGAGTGAAAGAGACACTACAAACAACTAAGGTAACACTATTAGTAAATTCCAATTCCTTGTTTCATATGAAAATGTTATTAACAAATTAATTTTAATTTTAAAGCTAAAAAAAAAATCATATTTCGATATTTTATGTCGAGGTTTAGGCAGCATGTCGTTAACTAGTCACAGACTGCCCCTGTTTGAAGGGGTCGTGCAATGATTCACAATTCATCTGGCTCACTGGTTACACACCTGTTATGTGTTCTTTGCGCTTATTAAGTGTATTTGTTTTGACGTACAATGTGATTGATATAATATCAAGTCCATACCAGACCGTCTAACTTTTCTAGCGGCCGAGCTTCGTTTTGCGATTTCCACGACAGAGCACGCTGCACGATTGTTTGCAAGGATTAGAAGGAACGTAGTGTTGCCATATACAAGTGATTAGATGTATCAAATAATACTGATTTAATATATATATATCCAGTTGAATGAGTTGGTCTCAAAATTCTGGACTGGTTATTGCACTAAGTTGCGCAAAAGGACGGAACCCAGTAAGCAAGAAACGCGACTGTAATTACATTGTGTAATCAATGGTTTGACTTGCTGCTCAAAGTGTATTCATTCACGCAGCATATAGACGAAAACAATCGCTTACCCGCCTCAATTTGACACCAGTAAATGAAGGACTGATGGTATTTCTCACTCTTTTCCAAGCATTATCTTCCAAGAAAAACAAAGCTAAATTTAAGGGGTAGGGTACCGAAAATATCTGAAAACAGAAGCAAGGAATACAGTTAAGTTTCATTCCATTTGTATGGTTACACTTTTTACATTATCTTTACGCCCAAATCTAAGGTTCATTTATAGGGTTCAATAGCAGTTGTTAAAATTATGATTAACCACCACGTGACATCTGTTACTCTGAGTAACAGCAATAGCTAGTGTGTGCTGATGTGTTAAGTGTTTAGTTTAGTAGGATGACATTGTCAAAAAGGCAGACATTATTGCTTTCAGGGGCCATAAATGGTTTTACTTACCACCCGGTTTCTGAAATTGTCAAAACTCTTGACCATAACCTCTTTGAGAATTTCCAGATCGGCGATAATATAGGTGGGAGTCCTTCCAAGAAAGATACTGCACAACAGAAACGTCATAGATGGTTAAATTACACAAAACACTTCATATCTTCTGAACCTGAGCTCAAAGAAACATATACAATCTGATACAAAATGTATTTTTGAATGCCAATAAACATCATTTATCCATATGCTGTTTTAAGGTCCCCTCTTATAGGTAACGTGCACGTGTTGTTAACCTACCAGCTGTTTTCTCGTCGAGTTCTTATAGTCTGCACGACTTTGCATGATATAAGCATACATACATACATACATACATACATACATACATACATACATACATACATACATACATACATACATACATACATACATACATACATACATACATACATACATACATACATACATACATACATACATACATACATACATACATACATACATACATACATACATACATACATACATACATACATACATACATACATACATACATACATACATACATACATACATACATACATACATACATACATACATACATACATACATACATACATACATACATACATACATACAAGGCAGCCATGAAGGGCCACCTCCTCGTGGTGGGTGCTGGGTCACGCCAAGCGCCCTTCAACCCCCCGTTGTGGACCCGGGGGGATATTAGGTCCACCAACCCGTTTGCCGTGGGTTGCGCCCCTGTGTCGGTGGAGGACGGGAGGCTGGTGGTTGAGGGCATTGGTTCCCGGAACAGTGTTCCTTTGCCCAACACACCACTTCGCCCCTTACTTCACCTAGACGGGTGGTAGAACTGGCCCGGTTCTATCAATCGGCTGGTCACGCCAAGCCCTGTGTATAGACTATATCTATCTATGTCTTTGCACACATTTGATTTGGAATTGTTTTAATTTCGGGCTTACTTGTTTATCTAAAACGTTTGTGATTTTGAAATATGATGTTATGAACTTTGCCTAGAGTCTTATGCCCAGAAGGCGGTGGCTCATGGGCCAATCTGGTGGAATTATTAATCTTTTAATTCTTCTGCTTGAGTATATCATCCGGGTATCCTCGGTGCCGCAAGTTAGAAATCCACTTGTTTTTAGCATTGTCCTTGTGATACTCCGTGGTGGGTGGGGAGCTCGGATGATGAAATCTAAAAAAATAACCATGGCTTATCAAACTCCAAACAAAAAACCAAACGTCCTCTTGACAATGACCCTATTGACAACGACCTTAGACTGCCCAAACCAACTGATTACTGGCCACGTTTTGTTGTAATTCAGACAAAAGATGATACACCATTAAAATTAAATCCTTTTGCTGTGTCTAAAGGTATCCAAGGCATTGCTGGCGATGTGAAGAACGTTAAAAAATTACGTTCTGGTGCGTTGTTAATTGAGTGTGGCAAGAGGCACCAATCAAACAACCTACTGAACACTGAAACTTTTGTCGGCATTCCCGTCAACGTCACGGCTCACAAGACCCTTAACACGAGCAAGGGAATCGTTAGAGATCGTGAGCGATTGCTGGCTGACATGTCGGAACTAGATATCGTTTCCGAAATGAAGGATCAGGGTGTACTCTACGTTAAACGCTTTTCTACACGTAAAAACGATACAACCATCAAAACCAATACTTATCTGTTTTCTTTTTCTTTACCCATTGCCCCAAAATCTCTCAAGGCAGGTTATTGTAACCTCAATGTGGAGACGTACATTCCAAACCCTCTGAGGTGCTTTAAATGTCAGAAGTTTGGCCACGGCGTAAATACTTGTACATTGTCTGTTGTGTGTGCTCACTGTGGTGAAAAGACACACACAACAGAAGATTGTAACAGCACTGTCAAAAAGTGCATCAACTGCGCGGGGAACCACCCAGCTTACTCTAAGGACTGTCCCGTATGGAAACAGCAAATGGCAATCAATCAAATAAACTTCACGCAAAACATTAGTTTTGCAGATGCCAAGAAACTAGTCCACGGCTCAGAACAGACAGACAGTTATGCTTCCATTGCCAGAACAACGGCTGAGGCAACATCTAGAGTAACTAAAGTATCTGCTAGTTGTCAGACAGATTTAACCTGGGTCAAAACAGAATCTCCTAAACCTGTCTCGCCTGCTACATCTACACAAACTGTAAAACTCACTTCCCGGTACATCTCGAATCAATCAGAGACATCCCCTGATCATGAACCATCTTCTCAGTTGTCCACAAAGTCTCAGCAAAGTCTCGTTAAAACCAAAACTAAAAAGCCAGATGTTTCCAAAAACTCAGTGGCAGAGCCCCAAAGGGGTCAGAAAATCAAATTCAATTATTCAACAAATATGGATCTCTTGAGGGATATGGACGTGTCTGAAAACGTCCGTAGTAGGGCACATAGCTTGTCGCCCACCAAACAAGTGCAGGGGTAGATCCCCAATAAATCCCCTAAAAGATAGGTTATCAGCATAATATCCTACAGTGGAATTGCAGAGGACTAAGGACTAATTTCAATGAATTGCAGCTTTTAGTCAGGATTTAACACCATCAGCGTTCTGTCTGCAGGAGACCTATTTAAAACAGACAGATGATTTTGTCCTGCGTTCTTTCAATGCATATCATTGTTTTTCACCTCCGGGTGACAGGGCCACTGGCGGATCTTCCATCTTAGTCAAACAGAATGTTATCCATAGCCCAGTTTCATTAACTACTAATCTGCAGGCTGTTGCAGTGCGAATTACTTTACATGTTGCGTTTACATTGTGTTCTGTATATATCTCTCCGTCTTCAACGTTTCACAAAACTGATCTTCAAGCTCTATATGACCAACTCCCGAAGCCCTGTATTATTATGGGAGATTTAAATGGGCACAACCCACTCTGGGGTAGTGTCAATACAAACGCTAAAGGTAAACTACTGGAGGAGTTTTCTTCAGACAATGATTTATGTATTTATAATGATGGTTCCAACACGTATTTACACCCTGGTACAGGAACCTATTCTGCTCTCGACTTATCAATCACGAATTCAGAATTACTAAATGAATTTGAATGGTCAGTCCATGATGACCTATGTGGAAGTGACCATTTTCCTACTATACTAAAACCTGTATACCCAACTGATGTTACTCCATATTCGAGATGGAACTTTAAAAAAGCTAACTGGCCGTTGTATCAAGCTCTGTGTTGTAGCAGACTTAAACCCGAACTCTGTATAGAATGTACTGATCCTATAAAGGATTTCTCTGATGAACTAATTAATATTGCTGATGAGTGTATCCCCAAATCCTCTGCAATTTCACACATACGAAAACCATTGTTCAACAATGAGTGCAAACAGGCTAGGAAGGCACGGAGAAAGCTGAGAATTATTTCCGTCGCCATCCTATGGTCCATAATTTGAATACATTTAAAATTTTAAATGCTAAGGCACGGCGTACCTTCAAGCAAAATAAACGTCAATCCTGGCGAAAGTATGTATCACAAAATAAATTCACGAACGCCGATATCAAAAGTATGGAATATGATCCAGAAAATAAAAGGTAAGGGTTCTAAATCTAGCATTAAGCATCTTAAAGATGGAGACGAATTATTAACTAGTCAATCTGATATTGCAAATAAACTTGGAGAAACTTTTGGCCAAACACTCTTCCTCATCGAATTATTTACCTCAATTCCAAAATTATAAAAACAACAGGAAAAGAAAACTATTAATTTCATTTCAGATAATGGGAAGATTACAATGAACTATTTTTCTATTCATGAGCTTCATACTGCTCTTGATCAAGCTCATGATACGGCTACAGGTGCTGATAACATACATTATCAGCTCCTGAAACTACTTACCGGATTCATGCTTAGAAACCCTTTTAAACATTTTTGATGATATTTGGACTTCTGGACAATTTCCTTCTTCATGGCACGATGCTATTATTGTACCCATCCCTAAACCTGGACGTGATCATACTGATTCTTCGAATTATCGACCAATCTCATTAACTAGCTGCGTTTGCAAGACCATGGAGCGCATGATAAATAATCGACTTGTGTGGTACTTGGAAACTAATAACCTTATAACAGACATTCAATGTGGTTTCCGTAAAACAGAAGTACTATCGATCATTTAGTGCGTTTAGAATCCTTTATTAAAAATGCCATTATTAAAACAACATGCAGTGTCGATCTTTTTCGATTTAGAAAAAGCATATGACACCACATGGAAACATGGTATTTTAAAGAGATTTACACGATTTTTGGATTGAGGCCGTTTGCCTCTTTTTATATCACAGTTTTTTAACGGACAGGCAATTTCAAGTTCGCGTGGGTTCTACCCTGTCTGATCATTACAATCAGGATCAGGGTGTCCCACAAGGCAGTATTTTATCTGTCACACTCTTTAGTATTAAAATAAATAGTCTGTCAAAGGTTTTAAGTGATTCAATCGATGGATCTCTTTTTGTGGATGATTTTAATATTTCTTGCCGTGGTAAAAACATGCGAACTATTGAGAGACAATTACAAATTTGTCTCAACAAAATTCATAAATGGTGTCTTGAAAACGGGTTTAAATTTTCGAAATCCAAAACCAACTGTCTACATTTTTGTAGGAAATACAAACCTCATAAAGATCCTGAATTATCATTAAATGGCACACCCATCAAAGTTGTCAAGGAAGCTAAATTCCTTGGTCTCATCTTTGATTCGCATTTAACCTTTCTGCCACATATCAAAAATCTAAAAAGCCAAATGCCTGAAGGCACTCGACTTGTTGAAAGTCGTTTCCAGTTCAAAGTGGGGAGGGGACCAAACCACCCTCCTTCATTTGTATAGATCACTGGTCCGATCGAAACTTGATTACGGCTCTATCGTATATGGTGGGGCCTGTAAAAGCAACCTCAAACTACTTGATTCTATCCATCACCAGGGTCTAAGACTTTGTCTTGGGTCTTTCAGAACCTCTCCCGTTGACAGTCTCTACGTTGAGGCCGATGAGCCATCTTTAAAACTTCGCCGTATCAAATTGTCCCTACAATATATCACAAAGTTATATTCTAATGAATCCAATCCTGCTCACACTTGCGTTTTTAATCCTCTTTATGAGGACTTGTATAATAAAAAACCTTCACTTGTTCCACCTCTTGGGATAAGAATCCAACAATATA